ATATACCTATAAGTTGGAACTGGGAACCCCTGGGCAGGACATAACAAGGTGAGATCTTGACCTGCAGCTCGATCATACCAGCCTACTATTTTCGAGTCACTCGAGAATTTCGGCTTCCTCGTTGTCACTGGTTCTGCCGTGATATTTAACAAACAAGCAAAAAGAAACGAAAGTTTTGATACTTCGATCAATCTCTTCATTGAACATAGGACGTAATTAGAATATTATTTCAACCGAGAAGCGATGAAACGACGATCAATAATCTAAAAATTTCCCTTAACGTCTGTAAACGAGCGACCTACAAAGGAATTGAAGCACAGCTTTCAAAAGTAGGTAATGTAATACCTGGTCACAGGAACAGGGTGGCCCTGGGCATTACACAGCAAGCTTACTTCCGTGTTAATTTTGTGGAAGAAAAAGAAGGACTTTATACCTCCAAGAAATGCGGGTGCTTTGCTTCCCATGGGTTCTGGGAAAGAAAATGAAAAAAAAAAAAATAGACTAAATTTCTTCGAAGTCAATCCTACTCTCATTTTTTTTTCTTTCTCTTTGTCTTCTTTTTCTTCTTAAACAGGGTACCCCGTTGGTACTTTGACCTACATTTCAAATTCATGACCTTCAAGCGTTCTAAAGAAAACAGCGTACTTTTAAAATTGTCGACGTTTAAAATCTCTAAGTGACTTCGTTGAAAAGATATTCTACACTACTACTTATAGCAAAACGCGAGTATATCTTTAACTTCGCAAACAGAGCTGACCTACCTCAGATCTATTACATACAAAAACGATTTCTCCTCAGTTTATGTTACGAAAATAGAACATTTTCGTCTTTTTCTATTCACTGACATTTACCCTTCGGGATCGAGATTCAAAAAAGTAATGTTCTTTAAAAATATTAATATTTAAATTCATGTTAAAATCAATCCGTCAATAGAATAAGTATTTATAATGATTAATGTATTAATTACTAATCAAATAATTCTCTAATAAATCTCGAATTCAAAGGGTTACTGTAAATTTTAATAGAAATCTTTCAACTCTGAATCTAATACCTAGCCTTAGGAGGCGGATGGCCTTGAACGTTACAGAGAAGACCAATATCCAAGTTCACTCTTCGTATCAGCAGGGAGAGTTTAGTATCCCCCGCAAAGGCAGGTGCTTTGCTTCCGACGGGTTCTAAACAGCATCGAAATTCGATTACTCGGATACAATGGCTAGGGACAGAGACCCGAGAGGTTCTCTTGCGAGCAAGAGCAATTAACTCGACGAAGTAACACAAGCCAATTTATAGGATCAAGATTATCATCGAACTTTCGTACCTAAACGTGGGGACAGGGTAACCTTGGGCATTGCAGGAGATGCTAACTTCTCTCCCGATTCGTCGTGATAGCAAAGAGATCTTGGCTTCTCCAGAAAAGGCAGGTGCTTTGCTTCCAATTGGTTCTAAACATCATCGAAAGGAAGAGAAACAATTTTAAGGGAAAGCAAAAAAGTGTTATTTGCTCGATTAAAACAAATCCTAATCATTCCGTAAGAAGAATCTAACCTTTTCAATTTACCTAGTAGTAGGGACAGGGCTTCCCTGAGCTGCACAAAATACTGTGATGGGCTGTCCCTCATATCTCCCAATTGTACGGCTTAGATCATCCGACGTAAACCTAGGTGATCTCGCGCCTACAGGCTCTGAAATCCACGATCGTTTTCGATCCTCAAAGAGGAGATAGGCGTTTGCTGATGCAACAAGATTTTGTTTTACCTGGCAGTTGGAACAGGAAATCCCTGAGCGTTACAGGCTAGCACCACGCCAATACCCTCGCGTCTCGAATAAGCGCTCAACGTAACATCGCTGGAGAATATCGGAGACTTGAATCCGACAGGCTCTAAGAGAATACGTTCAGATCGAAATGGTCGTTCGAATGATTCGTTAAGGAATTAATTTTACAATTTATTTAAAAAAAAAAGCAAAAGAAATGAAAGAGAAAATTGTATAGAGAATTAATATAAATGAAAGTTATGAGGATGAAATCAAGTTTAATTCTCGTATCAATAGAAAGTTTGATACCGATACGTGGAAAAATTGATTTGAAAACTGAAACTAGCGTTGAAATGATACTCTCGAAAGTACACATACGTTCGACATGGTTAACGAGATCGATGTTACATGATACATGTACGCGTATGATAGAATCCACGGTGAGTATTTGTCTCACCTCGTAATTGGAACAGGGTAGCCTTGTAAAGGACACACGAGGCTCACCGCACCGTCTGATTTCATTTCGACGAATTCGACTTTCCGATTGGCCGGTAATTTTGGTTTCGCGCTCGACGTCGGTTCTAATCGAGAATAGAAGGACGGAAGATCCTTTGAGAGATAACGATTATTACTGACCGTGTAATGGGAACAGGGAACCCTTGAGCTGGACAAGTCATCGACACTTTGCTCATGCTCGGCGTTGGCTTGACCACCTTTATATCGGCATTTGTGAATTTCGGCTTTACACTGGTTACCGGTTCTGAATAGAAAAGAGATATTTTTTTTCCGAACAACTCAAATTTTACAAACGAATTCGAATCTGTCTGACTTTCTCAACACTGGGTCCAGGTACGTATCCCTCGATAAACTAACAAATTCATTGTCACGAGTAACTACCAAAGATTAAACGAATTCATTTGAAATTAAATCAAGAATTAAATTGTTTCGATTATCCATGGGGGGGGGGAGGAAAGGAGGAAGGAGAACTTATCAGAGGAAAGGAAACAAAGTGGTGTATCGATTTAACGATTTATCGAGTATCCCTTGTGGCCTTTCTAAAAACAAGAATAATCAAAGGGTTGCCTTTGTTGTCGTCATACATGTCGCGTTCGTCGTAAAAACGGATGACGTGCTTGCAATAAGTTTACCTACCGTGAAATTGAGAATTGATTTTGTCTCGGTGATAATCACTTTTGACCAAGCACGGCGAAAAACTAAGCTCGAAATAAACCTTCAAATTCTCTAATTCCTCTATTGAAGAACTTACTTAGACACCGGTACAGGATACGCCTGTGCAGGACACAAAAGTTGAACGCTGCGTGCTTCCAAACTTTCGAAAGTTCGACTCTTATCGATCGTAGGAAACTTGGGCTTTGCAAAGCCAACCGGTTCTACAAATTAGTCTGAGAATAGAGGTTAAGCATTTATCCACTACATTTGTTAAATCAAAAGCAAAAATGACGTAATCAAATGAGATTTTTCGTTGACAGAAGGAAATTAAAAGAATTATTTGTAATGTTAGATTCATTGTAAAGGTTACGTCATTGTCGAATGGCAAACATCATTAAAAAGTCTACTATCTGATTACTGGGACAGGGTTAAAAACGCGTAACAAGATCTCAGTCAATTCAAACCGATCGACAAATCGATCGACCTACCTATATGTGGCAACTGGATATGCTTGAGCCGGGCAGAGCAACGTAAAACTTGTGTCTTTCGTAACACGCAATCCGACATCGTTCACAGATGGAAATCGAGGCTTTGTACTTGAAGCAGGTTCTAAAAAAGTCGATTTAACCAGATTCTTTTAAATTCTTCAATAACATGCTGGAATAGGGATACCCCTATTAAACTTGATAACTCCGATATCCTAATACAATAGTACTTCATTTTTTTTGTATTTGTAAGTCAAATTTTTTTTTTACTTGTCTACCTCAAAACGAACTATTTGTCATTCCTATAAATCTCCTAAAGAATAACATATTCATCTGCCTACCTATATAAAGGAACTGGGTATCCTTGAGCGGGACATAGAAGTGTAACGCTTTTTAAGGAAGATACGCTGAACCTTTGAAGGTCGCTCGATCCGGACAACTGTGGACGAGTACTGGATGCCGGTTCTAATGAAAAAAGTTACAATCTTTGTATCCTCCTACTTCAAATAGACACGTCCAAGTGGATGATCTTTTTTTTACCTGTGCAATGGAACAGGAAACCCTTGGGCAGGACACAGCAACGTCATCGCACCACCAAGGGACACTTTGAAAGTCTGCGAATCGTGTAACGACGAGAATTTCGGACGGGTGCTTGCGACAGGCTCTACGAAATATTGGAAACAACACGAGTACTTGAAAGTGTGATCGAAAACTGCATCCAATAATGTATATTAATATCTAAATACCATCTTGTAAATAATTATAAAGTTCCGTTTGATGCCATTTTTATTTAAAACTTTATAACTCTCTTCCGTTTAAATTCTTGTTATTCCATAAAATTATCTACGAATCTATCATATTTATTTCGAACTTTGAGAAATTGATTTATTTATTTTGAGATTCGATCTAATTAAAAAAAAAGAGGAATATGAACATTCTTACTACCTCGAATTTGTCATCCACCTTTGCTCCTTTCCTTTGATATCGTAGCCGTGCATTAACTCGGACGCGCTTGGAATATTCTATTTCAGTTCTTAAATCGAAGATATTTTGTATACCTGAAGGCTGGAACAGGAAAGGCTTGAGCCGGACATGGTAAAGCCAGCGATTCGTTGCGACAAACTGTATACGTCGTATAGGTACGCGAATTCTCTGTCATCGGGAATTTGGGCTTTGTACTGGCGACTGGTTCTGTGAGAAAGAACTTTTATTTGGGTGTGATCGTCGTTAATTGAAATTCAAATATCATTTGTTCAACAATCATTTTCAGCCCTGTTACATGAAACCATTTTATTTCGCTGGGGCAGGGTAATTAATTTTCTTTTAATTAATTCTCTTGATCGTATATCTATTTCACAATCCAATTAATATTTTATCACACCCGAAAGTTCTTTTCAAACACAAATTTTCATTCGCCCTCGCGATCAAATAACTTCAATTTCAAATTCTAATATCTAGTTTTATGATATATACAATGACCTCATCCCACCTATACAATGGAATAGGAAATCCTTGAGCAGGACACAGCAACGTTAAAGGGTGGCCACTTTTTGCAATAAATCCACGCGAGTTATCCATCGTTGGAAATTTAGGACGAACGCTACCAACGGGCACTGTGAATTAGAACGAAAGAAAACTAGAACGTTGAACGTTAGTTACGTTCTCATTGGAACATAGAAATGCCTTCTATGCAAGGACAGGGAACCTAGCGATTGAAAGAGCTTTATTTTGTCTGGAAATATGTGTAGATTTATCTTCTTGCAATGTATGTCATTCCGTTCGCGGAATGAATTCTTTAGCATCGATCAATATAAATGATTTCCTTTGCCATTCGTGCTTTCACTTTGCCATTGTATTCGTTTTGCTAATCGATTAGCGTTTCAACAACCATTATCATCATTAGTCAAAAATTTTCATATCGATCGTACCTATAAGTTGGAACCGGAAATCCTTGAGCAGGACAGAAAAGGGAAAGACTATTGTTCATCTTCGCTGAAAGTCCAATCAGGTTGATCATACTCGAAAGCTTAGGTCGTGCACTCGCCACAGGTTCTGTTTATTGTTATCCACCAAGAGAGATAACAAGAGAATAATTATAATCGTTGAATGATGATCTAAACTATTTAACGATTCGCGACTTACTTGTGTACGGGAACAGGGAACCCTTGGGCTGAACAAGCTAGAGTAACCGAGCCGTCTTTGATCGTACGAAATCCTCTAGTGTCGTCTATCGTTGGAAATTTTGGTCTCACACTGCCAACGGGTTCTGAATAATAATAATCATAATAATAATAATACTAATGACGATGATAATAATCTAAAGATTCAAAACTCCCGTTGAAAGTGTATCCTACATACCTGTCTACACCGGGACAGGTGTATCCTAATGATTATAATTAATCGAGAAAGATAATCTCTCGGCGAGTCAAAAGTATTCAACTTAAATCTACTATGATCGTACCTATGAGATGGAACTGGAAATCCTTGAGCAGCACACAATAGGGTCATAGTTCCACCCTGGTACGTCATGAAACCGTTTATGTTTGACATAGCAGGAAACTTTGGTCTTACACTGCCAACTGGTTCTAAAGAACCGATAAATTCAAAATTAATCCGTATCTATCGGCACTTATTTCTTTACCATTAAGGGACAGGGAAACCCTGGTAGAACTTTGAAATGAAACAGCTCAAATATCTCCAGCAACCATATGTATATGAACAACATTCTAATTCTACCAATACATTACTAACGGAAACTCTTAAAGCACAGTAGAATACTCGTATTTCTAATCCAAAGTTTCTAACCATGACTTATATCCTTTTATTTGTTAAAATAACCATAAACGTTGTTTTTCTTGCATTCGAAAGGAAAAAGTGAGAAAGGCAAAGGTAGATAAATGGATAGACGAAAAACAAACGAAATACGCTTACGATTTGAAAACTCGACTTACTTGTAGAGAGGGACAGGAAAGCCCTGAGCGGGACACAACAAAGTGACCGAGCCATCCATGGTTGTTCGGAAACTCCTAGAGTCGTCGATCGTTGGAAACTTTGGCCTCACACTGCCAACCGGTTCTAATTGTGTCGCGTTATTTTAAAATCGATTCGTTATTACCTATTTAATATTTAAACATCGTCCTATATTCATACCGCTAACATAAGTTTGTTCTCTACCTGTGCAGAGGAACGGGGAACCCCTGTGCTGGGCACAGCAGGGCTTGCGAACCGTCAACCAGTGTTCTGAAGCCACGGATGTCATCTGTAGAAGGAATCTTGGGACGTACGCTTCCCACGGGCTCTAAAAATCAGGCCTACATTTAGAGATTATCAATAATCTTTCTAATATTTCTTTGCTATTCCTTGGATCACAATAAGTATCAACAAAATGGGACAACGTCGAGCAATGCGATTGGATTGAAGTTATTAAAAAAATGTAGAATGCTAAGATCGAATGAAATAGGTCACCGTAATGTCGGTAGTTGAACGATTGTGGTATTAATCTGACATCGATAGATGTCACATTCCTGCGTTTATCGATCTTCGACTTGGTATTTCCCGATGGTGTCTCTGAGAATACACGGAAAAGACCTTAGAGAGATGGAACGTCGAGTATGTGAAATACCACGTCCTATTCTCTCTGATGGTTCTAAATAAGAACATCAAGGCGAAAGGAGATATCAGCTACCGTTAATCATTATTATTATCCTATAATGGAAATTGAATTATTTCATTTTCGATTAGATATATACTTTGGATAATAAAAGATATTATTTAAAAGATTTGACTCAGTCGTTTCCTTATCTTCTCGACACCACTAAATTTTGGCCATCGAATAAAGAAATATTCCTTCTGTGTTTTGAAACCCTTTATCAAGATTCCGTTCCTTTCATTATATCCTTATACACGCTTACAGATCGACGCGATACGATAGAAAATATCGTACCTATGAGATGGAACCGGAAATCCTTGAGCAGGGCACAGAAGCGGTATATTGTCACTGGAACTCGTCGTAAGTCCATTAATGTTGTCCATACTCGGAAACTTTGGTCGTACACTCCCCACAGGTTCTGCGTAACCAAAAGATCGTAGAACCTTATACTTTATTAGCAGCAACCCTTTCCTATTTTATCCACTTTCTATGATCGTTAGAACATTCTAATCCTTATTTAACTCATTTCAATAATTGTTTCGTATTTAATATCTATTATTATACTTTTTTCTTTATTATCCATTGAAAAATCAATTCGATGCACAAATAAAGGACTTCGATCAGTGTTTATGTTCTCACTGATCGCTATTATACATTTTGTTCTCCATTAATGTTGCAAAATGGGACAATTAAACACTCAACGAAGCTGAAGAAGTCGTTGTTCGATAAGAATGAAAAATATTTCATCGTACATTGAAAAACGAGAAAATGAATAAACAATAATAGATAAAAGAGACAAAAAAAAAAGAAATAGCAGCTTCCTTAAGTGTTACGTCCATCATAAAGTTTAATAATGATAATAATAATAGTAAAACCGTAATTCCTCCGTTAAAGACGTCAAATTATTTTCTAAAGAACTTACCACGCGAGAGCGAAGGTCAGAGCCCGGAGATCGCGAGACGCCGTTTAAAAAACGAAAGAGAATTTCGCGCTTCGATTATTATTTTTTTTTCTTTTTTTTTTCTTTTTTCTATTTGTTTTTTTTTCTTGAAATATAACTTTCGTAACCGATCATGCCAAGAGTCAAGTTTTGGGCGGGCGGTGGCGCGTGCCCGCAGGGGTACCCTGTCCCAGCATTCAGGTTTACCAATCAACTCGATCCTTTAATGGATTCATTTGAAAAATATGACATTAATTGTATTTACTTATGATTTAACAAAATGAAAAATATAATCTTTCTTACATTCGCGCAATAAATTATGTCCAATTGCTACCATATTTATTGGTAATCGTTATACGAAAATAATGAATTATTGAAAAACGATCGAGCTAATTGGCAAAAAAGGCCAGACGAATAATTACATGATATAAGAAAGTTAATTTTCCAATAAAAGTGTTGTAAATATTTCGATCAAGTAATTAATACAAAATTTGTCATTTATTTTACTCTTATTTTAATATGTTTGAATTTGATAGGAAAATTAATTTTCTTATTAAGAAAAATTTCGAAACCAGACGTATTTCCATGCATACAAAAATACTAATGTTTATTATTATCCCAAATCGAATGAATCTTTCATTATGTTTATAAAAAGTATTATTTCTAATGATTTCATTATAGCATTTCGCTACTATATTAATTATAATAAATTGTTATATAATTATTACTTCTCTCGACCATGTGTGATACGTATAATTAATGTAAAATGATTATTAATTGATTGTATCATTGAAACGTCTGGATTCAAAATCGGAAACACGATTCTGATTTACGTAGATATGGAAATGAATAAGCAAAAAATGAATTCCAAACTTGACAAACATCGTTCTAAATTTAATTGAATACAATATTAATGAAGAATAAAATCTTAACAAAGAAAAGATCAATCAGAATCGTACTTTCAATGTGAAAGATAGAAAATTTCTATGCTTCGACTTACCGGTAATGACGAGACGTCCCTTAGTAGCAGATAATCTTGTTTCTCCAGTGAGTCTGTGTTTCGTACGGCATTGATAAGTCTTGTATCCGTCTTCTGGTCCAACATCTCTGATATGTAATTCTCCAGAAGGCAAAACCAAGTATTTACCATCTATTCGAAATAACCCCCCCAAAAAAAAAAAAGATTAATAATCTTATCTTCATCCTTATCATATTATCATGCAAATCAAAATGATTGATTTTCGACTGTTAATAACTATGTCGATAATTATGGAAATGGATTAAGTTCGAAAATTTAAAAAAATTCATTTTATAATGTATCTCTTAGTATAAACAATTACAATAATTATTCCAAAAATGTATATTGAAAATTAATATAAAAATGATAACGTACGTATACGAGAAATAAGAAGAATTTGTTATCAAATTTTCGACAAGACGAGATCAAATTCAATCATTTTGAAAAAAAACGTGCAAGATCTTTAGACGTTTTCGCGAAGTATCTAATACGATTAATTGAATAGAATCGTATGCATGCCACACTATAGTCATTGCTTCCCAAGTGAGTCGAACGTTGAATGTCGAGAAATTTCGTCTATATTTCCAACTTCAATCGTCCGACGCACCGCTAGGGAATTCCAACGCGTTAATATAACGACGAGAGGAAATACTGCGCGAGTACGTTCGATGCTTAATTAAATGTGATGTTTGTTATCGAGTAACTACAAAACACAATTACATTTATTGCATTCATGTATTATTATTACTACGCATTATTTCCTCTGACCCTTTGCATTTAAGGAAACGTTAAATTTAATATAAATCATATATTTTATAAATATATACACATTTGTTATAGATACATTGTTTAAAATTTGGCATCAATAAAAAATAAACACTGTGAATATCGTAATCGATTAAACAAATTCATGTATATTTAATTATTATTTGAAAATGCAGTCTATATATATATATATGTCATAATAAACTATTTATATTTTGTTGAAATGTGCAAATTGATAATTATTTTGATGAAAATAAACATTTATTATGTTATCTGCAAAAATTGTCTTTCCGATACAATTAATGAACAATTATATTTATAAAGTACATTGCAATTTCATAAGAAATATTTGAAACCACGAAAACTATACGTTTAAGTGATAAAGGGTCCATCGTTGGAATTATTTTGTTAACATTTCCGATATCATGCTTTGCAACATTTGAACATTTTAGGAAATGGTTTATTTTCGAAATAAAAGAAAAAACAAATACTCCGAACAATTATAAAATTATTTTATACTTTTAAATGGATCTAACTGATCATATCATCAGTTATCGTTCAAAATTAGATCTGATATTTATCAAAAACATATATATTGTGAGTAGAAACATCTGTCCTAATGATTAACAAGCTGTTAAGAATGTAATAAAGACAATTTATATGTCGCAAAACAGGACATACGGAACGGATTAATCAAAGTCATGCAATTAAAAAAAAAGAAAAACTCAAGCAATTACAAACATTATGAAGCATATTAATGACTACAGACTTGTAAAAAAAGGGTTAATTCGGAATGGCGCTAGGAAAGAAATAAAATGATTTCAAATAAAAAAGGAAAAAAAATTGAAGGACAAGGGAAGGATGTCTGGGACAGCGCGAGCAGCGGCAGTCAACGTCGTACGAATTTATTCCGAGAGAAATTCAATATACTCGGCAGCAATAAACGAAGTTCTTAAAAAGACGCTTATAAGTATAATATATGCTCGGTTTCGAAACGTTCATAAGAGAAGAGCGTTCGAATAAAACGAAAATTCTCCATAAACTTTCTTCAATTACATTAGATTATAAGAAAAAATCTAGAATTAGATCGATCCTGAGAATACGAAAGAAAAAATAGAAGAGCATACATTCAAGATCCTTGCTGAAACCCAATTTCCTGGCATATTAGAATTCTATCTTCCTGAATTGATCTAACATAGGAAATATTCTATTGTTCATTAAGATAAACGAAAAGAAAAAGAAGCAACAACGATCTTGCATGTCAGATCAATCGCGTGCTATTATACAATTAATAAGACGCGTCAAACGTTAATTCATGTTCACGCTAAGAGTGAGAGACAGAAAATCGTTCATTATCGATACGTAAATTTAATTGGGATGGTCAATTAAGCGGTGTTCGAGAGTGATCTTGATATATAATCGTTAATTTATTCGACGGATTTGAATTTTTTTCTTCGATAACTTTATGAAGTTATACTTCTTTTTTCGTTCTTGTTTGTATCATTTCTTTTTTTAATATAAGATTCGATTTTATTCATCATAAAGAAGAAGCGTACGACTAGAAGAAAAGTCGAGGATCGAATTCGAAAGTCGAGATTCGAATATAATATAAATCAGGGTGAACTTTCAAACGAGTCACCAACGAGATTTACGATGCATACAAAGGACAAGACAAAACGACAATAAATAAACAATTTAAACGCGAGTCGATATTTCATCTTGTTAAATGTGCGTGTACCATAATCGGGTCTAGGATAAATGTCAGTAGTATTGTCTTCAATCCAAGAGTCGACTTCCACGAATTCGGCGACGAAGCTCGGTATGTGACACTTGATAATAGCAGCGTTCCCCCGTAGAACGTGTTCGTCCATCACGTTCACTGCATACCGCTGCCCGACAACTGTAACCAGACATCGGTTTCCGGTTTTACCATAAAGATGCAAATCTTCTACACAGTGCATCCTATCGATCGTCAGTTACGTACAATTGATAGGTACGTCAAATTTTATTTTTTTTTTCACGCGCGTTCGAAATAAATATTCGATATTATTGCTTATAAGATCTTTGTCATAAATTAATTCATTCATTTTTGTCATTATAACCTGCGTAGTGATCTGCATCTTCGGCAGATAATATCTCGCGTGCATCTACGAACGGATTATTTTTATGAAATAGGAAAAATAGAAAGAAGATACGTAATAAGCCGAGCGAACGAGTTTAACGACACTGTTTTTATTCATTTAATATTCCACGTTGTTATCCTCGTTCAAAGGGGTAAAAAATAATAGATATATACGTTTGGCGTAATACGTTAGAGCGAGTGTCTCTACCGTATGACTGGTCATCGGCGACGTAACTTCCGCCATTCGAGTCGATCCAACCTACAACATCCACGTGGTCTGCTACGAAGGAAGGAACTTGACATTTGAAAATGGCCGCGTTGCCGCGTATCGCGAACTGGTCGTAAACCTGAACTTCAAAGTACTGCCCGACCACTGTAATAAAGCGAGAGAGAAAAAGGATAAAAAGAGAAGAAGAGAGATTTAAATGGAATACAAGAATAAGGGAGACCGGAAGAGTGGTTTAACAAAAAAAAAGAAGTCGGAAAAAGAGAGAGAGAGAGAGATAGAGAGAGAGAGAGAGAGAGAGAGAGAGTGATCGTCAGTGGAACACGACCTCTTGCTTTGATCTCACAGATTAAAATTTCAATGAACCGAGCAGGGATCAACTCGTGAATTTGATAACCCAACGATGCATCTATGAATCTTCGTCAGATTCACCGAACAAAAGTGGAATGTCAATTAAACGGTGCAAAACTTCATCTGGTCATCGTTACGTTCGACACGTTCGTTCGATCGATTTTTACGAAATACCAATATTCTCGACACAGGAGAAGATTACAAAGAGACCACCAAAAAACGTTTACGGAGAAATTGTTAACACGTTGACTAGCTTAAACGAATCATTTCTCGTTTCACGTACGTATCATATTAATAATATGATATATTAAACATTAATTATATTTATAAAAATCAATAATACGTTGAATGAAATACCTTAAACGATCCTCTATAGAAATTGTATTACACTAATTATAAGTGATAGACACTAATTTTCCTACTATACGGGCAATTTCTCATGTTGAACGGAAATCAAAGTAAATCTGTTAAGAGTAAACCTTTAATGAACCCTAACGACATTACTAGTACATAATCATTTCGAACAGATGACACATCAAAGATCAAATTTAGTGGATTCTTGTTTGAACGAGCAACCAGTAGAATTTCTCCTGGAAAGAGAGAATGAGAGACAGTTAGATAAAAAAAAAGAGTGAAAATGAGATAGATAGAAAGAGAGAGAAAGAGAAAGTAATAGAGGTGGGTAAAGCGCCGTAGGAAAATTCAATTCTATCATCGGCAAATAACCCCGGAAACGATCCGCTCTTCACCGAAAAGCGAATATAAAGCCGACGAGGCTGGTCTCGTCTCTTCGTAGAGATACGGTACGTTAATTTGCTCTCGGCCTGATTAGTCTGACTTAACCTAATCCGAAGTTTCCAAGCCGAACGAGGCCACTGCCAGCCGCACGCGCGTTTCCATCCACCCATCCATGTAAAACCGAGAATCGATCGAGAAAAGGGCAGGTGCAAACTTTGCCTCGGACTCCTGCTTTCCGCTTCATCGACCATCCTCTTCTTCTTCTTCTTTTTAATTTTTTTTTTCTTTTTTTTTTTTTTTTTTTTTTTTTTTTTTTTTCAAATAATTCCTACCTTTTTTTCTCTCTTATACACGCACACTACTCTCTTCACTCTTCGAAGACAAAAAAGGTGGTTTTGCGTGCAAACGTTCACTCACGCACGCACGCGAGTGGAAAACCGCGTTACTTAATACCNGATCGAGAAAAGGGCAGGTGCAAACTTTGCCTCGGACTCCTGCTTTCCGCTTCATCGACCATCCTCTTCTTCTTCTTCTTTTTAATTTTTTTTTTTTTTTTTTTTTTTTTTTTTTATATATATACCAGCACGATCATCGTACTCGATCGTGTACAATACTCTCTTCACTCTTCGAAGACAAAAAAGGTGGTTTTGCGTGCAAACGTTCACTCACGCACGCACGCGAGTGGAAAACCGCGTTACTTAATACCCAAGGATGAGTAACCGAGGTGTAATTTAATATAGTAATTTAATATAAGTACCGTGTCGAGTGCCGTACAGCTTTTTCCATTCTAATTCCGCTACTAACTGAAGCGTTGATCGTGTCATATCTATACTTTTATAGCGAATTTTGTATTGCCTAACGTTTTATTATTCGATTGTAAAGAAAAATTTAAGGACATCGTTTTCAACATCATTTTCAAGGCATGCCTATATATAAATCTACAAGAGCATTATTTAAATAAAAATGGATACAACTAAAGCAGCTCGATCGTTAATTCATTTTCACACTCGAAACTGTAAAACTATACCCTTTTCGTCTTGATTACTAGAAGTATACGTCGAGCCATCCTCAACTGCAAGCCACTCGATCACGTCTACAAAATCCGCCACAAAGCTGGGCACTAAGCACTTCAAGGTTGCCGTATTACCGCGCAAGACAAACTCGTCGATGACTCTCGTCTCGTAGAACTGCTGGACCACTGCAACGCGCCGTTTCCCAGAAAGAGAGATAGGTAGATCGTTATGTAAACGATGATGAATCATTATCGTTATAAGTACGCGTGAAAATCGATTGATCTCGATAATGGGATAGAAAGGTATTATTAAAAGAATCAATGATTAAACTCATGAAACTTATTAGACAATTCAATAATTTAGGCAAAAAATATAAACTACAAACGATATTAATGATAATAATAAGAAAAATAAGAATAATGTAATTATTCTTTCCATGGAAAAACAATAAGCCACAAACTATCAATCGTTTAAATACTCGTAATAAAATAAATCACGTAGATAATAGGTAAACGAAATTGTGGTTTCTACGTAGTTGCCGTTATTACTCGACAAGAAGTAAACGAGATTGATATCATAGATAGGTCAAATTAAAAAGAGAGAGAGAGAGAGAGAGAGAGAGAAAGAGGAACGAGAATTGCAGAGGAAAGATGAAAATTGTCCAAGTCCCGGAGTGTGTGATCGTTAATTATGCGGCTATCGACCACGACTCCTACCGTACTCCTTTCCAGCCGTGTATACTGTCCCATCATCGGCAATCCACTGATCCACCTGAACGAACTCCGACACGAAACTCGGTATTTTGCATTTCATGATCGCACTGTTTGCTCTGATCACGTACTCGTTCTCAGCCTCGGTGACAAAGAACTGCGAAACGACTGCCCGCGCGGGCATTGCCAGGACATTGTTAGGCAAACGGGTCAATTAGAAAACAATAGTTCGAAATAATATAATAAACAATGTGTTGTTTAATTAAAAACAAATTTTTTCGTTGATTTTTCGGTTAGCTTGGATTAATCACAAACGAATGGAATGCCAGGTACTCTCTTCGAGACCAATCGATACATCTTTTTGCAAATTCGAAACAATTGAATAATATTTTTAAAACAATAACGTAAGCAAATTTTTGGAAGAAAAGAAGAAACGGGTTAAACATTGTCAGACGATATAAAATGATTTATAAACAAATAAAAACACAAGAGACTCGATAATTATGTAAGAAGATACTATAAGAAACGAATTCGCGCGAATGTATCGATCAGTCGATGAGGAAATGAAAGAGGAGACACGTCTCTAGTACCCTGCCCAATAGCAGGATCCTCCGGAATGTAGACCTCTCCGTCCTCTCTTATCCATGCCTCAACGGTAACAAATTCAGCGATGTAACTCGGGATGCTGCATTTCAAGATCGCACTGTTACCCCTTATTACGTACTCTGTCAGGATTTCCGGTTGGTAAGGCTGCGCAACGACTGTACGAAAAGCACACAGACACACACCAGATATTCCTGATCATGATTAATATATTCAAATCTAATATTAAGTTCCGTTCTAGTCGAATTTAATCCAGATTTACTGAGACATCGTTGTCACTTTATTTCTGACCTAAATTGGCGTAAAATTAATCTAATTAAATCAGAATAAATCGATGAAATATCTATAATAATATAATAAACAAAATAGGACCAAAGAAAAGAAATAAAATGTCATTTCTAGAACAAGTTTTTGTGAGAGAGAATAAGGTTAAAGGCATGAAAAAATTTGGTTAATTTGAATACCACGGTACAATTGTACAGCGTGAGAATGATCGTATAGTTCATCAACCCTCAACTTACACACACATACGAACGTAACGTACGTGTCAACTGCCACCGCCGTGTGCCATCAGGAGACACCGAGAGTCGGCGCGCGAGCGGAAACGAATCGTTTACCACGTGCTATTTTGTACACGTTCAACTACGACGTATGACGCGACGTGCTATGAGGGAACGCACCGATGCCTAAAGGGCGTCGAGGACTCTGAGGGAAATGAAATTTTTCGACGAGGAATAAGGGACCAAAAAGAGAAAAATCGAGGGTAAGCTCGTCTTTTTATATGTGTAAATGTATATATGTGTACGATTGTACGCATGTGTGAATGCATAGATTCGTTGCTGTAAATGTGTACCATAATGATTGGACGGTCTGAAGGTCGAGCCATCACTTCCCACCCACGATTCAACCGAGACGAATTCAGCAACGAAGCTCGGTATGGTGCATTTCAAGATGGCTGCATTTCCCCTTATCACATATTCCGATACCACCTCTGCCTCGTAATACTGAGTCACAACTAAAGAAAAGAAACGACTGCTAGAAAAACTCTCGAAATTCCATTGACTACTTCGTCTCGGTGGAACTTGATTCATTCGTTGAATGAGTATTCTACAAGCTTCTTACCATTCTATAGTATACAGTGGCGTATCGCGTGATGATTCAAATACTACACAAATATATTTCAATTATAAAAAAAAGTATATAATCTTTAAAATTATATATAATAAAAAGATTAAGTAATATAAATGATGACGATACCGCTACTGCTTTTCTCACAATCTCTCTGATAAATCATAAAATAATAATAATTATCGAATCTCTTCTTTCATCCTAAACAGTCATGGTTTAAACGTAACATTTCGTTTACATGTATATAATCAAACATTTTATTAATCATCCATTAGATCAAATTTGTTTATCGAATTATTTTTATCGCGCACGTTCGACGTTGACCGCTCGCGAAATGCAACGCTGCATGTAACGTTCAGATATAATGTTAAAATTCGGGGAAAAAGATAATTCGGCTCCCCTAATCAAAACTTCTCCCCCCTACCATTTCCTTCCTCCCGATTAAAAGAATTTCCTTGGTCATCCTGCCAACCGACTACTTGAACGAATTCTGCCACAAAGCTCGGTATACTGCATTTGAGAATCGCCGCATTGCCGCGAATAACATACTCGTTGTTAACTTCTGACTGATAGTACTGATGCACCACTGTAATAAACGATGACAATGAATTACCGTGGCCGTTTTTAAAAGGACGATACTATTATTCATTCGACTCACTCTTCTCTCTCTCTCCCTCTCTCTCTCTCTCTCTCTCTCTCTCCTATCGCTCGCAAGCATCGAATAATCTTCACGCACGCGATCAAATACACCGTTTCACAAACAAGCGGAAAATTAAGATACATATTTCCGAGAATAAAGGGAAAATCAAGAGAAGTTACTTATATACTTGACGTCATTTTCTAAATCGCTAAATAACTTACTTTTATTGCTAAAGTTTAATTTTTATCAAAATTTCTTAACTTCGATTAAAATTTATTCAATTCATAAATGCATATATGATTGCAAAATTACAATATAATATAATAAATTTAACAAATTAATTTACATAGATTTCATAACAAGATTTATGATAATGTTATTTTTACTTTTTTTATTTATGTTAATATTAACATAATAATATGAATGATATGAGTTTCCTAAGAATTTCTTAAAAAAAAATAAATTATTCTAGAAACGTTTACAAAATTTTGTCAAAAATTTGTTATATAATCAACAACAACAACAACGAAAAACGTAATTTATATCACGATTTATCGGAGGTAGACGACTGGAAGAAAATTCGTCGACGTTGACGAGAGCCATGAGGGTGAGATTACATCGGCTGTTCGAGAGCAGATCGATTCGCATTGTCGCATCTTACACCGCAGTCGCAGCACCAGCCTAACACGCAAGACTGCACGAAACTACACGAAGCTGCACGTAAAGGATATGTTTTATCATCGGACGACGAACCCTAAGAGATTACATACATTAAAAAGAAAGATAGATACATAGATAGGTAAATAGGTCTAGATATATATATATAAAAAGATAAAAAGGGAATGGAACAGATATCGTCAACGCGCTCCAATTATTTTAAAGTGATGGATATGAACCGAGAACAATGTTAATGAAAGGAATTACGGATTCGTGTATGTTCAAGAACTCCACATATTACTTCGTAATATTCATAAAGATAGAAAAAATTCTTATCCAAATCGATAAAATCGAATAATACAGTCACGAAACTACAAATTGCATTTATAAAATATCGTTAAAGTATCGTAAATCATAATGGACAGGGTGTTTCCTTAATGAATGATTTTTCTCATACGCAGATAATTTAACGATAGTAGAATGAAACGATAGATAGTGCGATATTCGATCTGCTCATGAAAAAGGATTTTGCTGGTTCAGTATAATATAATGTGTATATAAATAGATAGATGATAAGTTCGTTCATTTGCTCGATATGCAAAATCTAACATAAAATAAATGAATTGTAAATAAAATACCAAAATCATCGCCCGGTACAAATTCCTCTCCCTGATCGGTATGCCATGAAAGAACCTTTACGAAATCAGCGACGAAAGAAGGCACGACACATTTCAATATAGCGCTGTTCCCACGGATAGCATATTCCTTGTTCACATCAGTATCGTAATACTGCGCCACCACTATTTTCCGATATTTTTTTCACATAGAGGAAGAAGGAAATTAGAAAAAAAAAGAAATAACAATTTTCAACGATTAATATGAATAAAATTAAAACGACGTATATATTCCCGCTTATTTATCTCTATATTTCCTGACATTATAACGATATTTTTTATTTTAATCAAACTTGTTTCTTCCTACTATTGAAATAACGACCACTTTTAACAAAACTAATAGTAGACTTGTATAAAAACGTAATATACTAAAAACAAAATTCCGCGTATTTTCGGCGCTTCTCGTTAAAAGCTCTCACGACCAACAAGCACGTGTTACATATACACTCGTTATCTCTCAACGATACTAATGACGTTCAATACTCTTACGCGAGAATGCTGTAGGCGAAAAAAAAAAAAAGCAGAAAAGAGATAGATTAACGAGGCACAAATGAAAGCGTAGTAGGAGAGTATGTGCCGCTCATTATTCGTCGTTATACGATCGAGAAATAATTTTTTCCCCATCTTCTTCTTCTTCTTTTCCTCCTTCTTCATATTCTTCTTCCCTCATTTGTTTATTTCGACGTAATCCAAAAATCTGATTAAAAAAACTCACTCACGAGATTATAAGTACATTTCTTTCTAAAATCGCGGAAGAAGAATGAAACCGGTGAAAGAGAAACCCACAAAAATAACTTCAATCGATAGCAAAGCGAGTCACGAAGTTGCCGTAACGTCATCAACGTGAATCACTAAACAACTCCCTCATCCTCTTGCTCTTACTTTCTCTTTCCATAAAATACACATAATACACGCAAATATAAACCGAATCATGACTCGAGACACTTTGTACATATATATATATACACGAAGTTTATTTTAATTTATATATTGAAAATAGAATGAGACACGCGAAAAGATAGAAAAAAAAAGAAAGAGAAAAAGAAAGAGAAAAGAAGAGACAGAAGAGTCATTATGCGAAAACGCGTTTCACATAGAAATGCGACGGCGGCGGCAGCGATCTTTATTCTTCTGTAATTAAACGCGTAAAGGAGATCCAAGTGTCCTGCGTCTTAATCCCCTCTCTTTTCCCCAACCGGATAATTATTTACAAAGTCTACCTAATTGACAACGACGACGCGTTAGTGGCTTTCAAGTACACGATAAATTGCTACTTGACCTTCCAAGATATTTGTTTTCCTTATAATTTTGCTGAAAAAAATTCTCACATTAAAGCGTTTGGCCATCTTTCTAGAGATTTACAATATAATATCATTATATTTTAATAATTAATGTATAATAAATATATAATTAAATAAATATTATCATTCAAGAGTATTAATTGAATCAATAATGTATAATTTATTCAATTGAATTTTTGGATATTCGGGATAGTAAATGATTTTATTTGTTGAAATTGAATTCAGTGAAAATTTACTATTAATTTAATATTACTGAGAACATAAAATTTAACAAAATTTTCTCGATATAAATCTTTTTTATATTTTTCTACAAATTTTATAATAGATGGCCAAACAACAGAAGAACCTATATCGTACAGGTATAGTATTCGGGATGGAAGGCACTTACCGGCTCTTACATTAACATCTCGGCTGTGAACTGAACCGGCTGGAGAACGTGCGAGACAGCTGTAAACCTGAGCATGAACCTCTTGACGATAATCCTCTGCGCGGAAAGGAGGGAAGACCAAATTTCCGTTCGGTAGGACCTGCACCAAGTAGAAGAATGAGCTGTCGAGTATGTACGTTCAGAGATTTTAATCTCGAGTATATAAAAAAAAGTATTCTATTTTATATTATGTAATATGTACGCGTATATAAAAGTATTATATTATATGTAACAAAGAAGTCAACAATCTTACGGTCGATTAGATAAAAACGGTAGTAAGTAGGCTTCATTAGCCATTAAAGTAAGTATTATGTGTTAGGGTCGATTAATATTTCACATCGTATAAGTATAAAGCAAAACAATGGAAGTAACGAAGTGGAAATAATTGGACAACACAATAAATAACTAAAGCGTACAAATACAAGAGAAATTCTTGAATGTGTTTGATCACGTTTATGTATTCGCGAATACATAATAATTGAAATCAAACTGACCAATTTATTGTTGTTATAATAACGATATCACTTGAAAAGAAAAAATTAATGGAAGCTACCTGTCTCAATCCAGGAACATCTCCAACAGCAGTACCATCACCACGAACCCAAATAATGTCCGGTTGGGGGTTTCCTCTAGCTCGGCATTCAACTTCAGCTCCAGTTCCATTTGAGAAGTCAACTCTGTTTGGTGGTTCCTTAACGAAAACGGGTCCCATAGATTCATCCTCAGCGTTAGTAACTGAAATAAAAAACCATCCATCTTCATTGACTCATCTTCTCAATGATATAATAACCGTCGTCGCTGTGGAATGGTCTGACCTAGTATACAATAACACGAGCTATCGTTGCAATTCTTAACGCGAAGATCTTGCCGCAATTTCCTCATTAACGGTGAATTGATCGACGATCTACTATAATACATTTTTAAGCGGAAATACCTCAATTACACATAATACCAAATTAAAATAATATTCTCTTTCTTTTCTATTAGATTATTTTGATGAATTACTTTTCCTATCGTATGACGAATCTAGGAAAGATCGAGAATACTTAAGTATAATAATCTATTTATGAAATATGAAATTTCGATTAAATAACAAAATAAGAAGTAATCCTGGCAGTTTGTGGATTTCCTTTTCCTTATCATTCGTTTCCTCTAGGATACGCTTCGTGTATCCCTAGACGCATGCGCACATATCAGACTGGCGTGTCGCCAATTACGGCAAACAACAGGTTGTCGGTCTCCTATTGAATAATATGCTGTCAACGTCATATATCCATAAAGAAGATATGCAATGCGTGATTCCTTTTCCGCTGTACCTAACTTGCATTTATCACAAAACTCGAGAACGAAGAGCGGAGATAATGTTTCTAAGAAGAATAATTCATCGAACTAAAAACTGTTCTGATTCGATAGCGATTCAATTATATTTTAACAAAATTATACTCGAAAAGATTTAAACTTACGTATATATTCAGGATCGTAATTCGAAATTTTGATCACGTAATGGAACGTGACGCGATTCACTCGTTTGCTACCTGAATTCACCAAAGAATTCATTTTTCAAACTTCTCGTGCACGCGTATCTACATGAAAAAACGAAAGCACATGAGCGAATATTGTTTACGTTATAACTATAGTTATATTATGTATAAAAAATCGAGTTACGAAGAACCGGTCAGTAAGGGCTACAGCATCGAAGGTATCGAAAGAACGACAGGAGGTATACGCAGGTATACGGAGCAGGTGTTACAGATTTTTCATCTCCTGAGTTCTCCGCTTTACGAACAATCACCAGTCAAGCAAACCAACAAACACGTTTTTCGTTCTCTCCGTTCCGTTGAAAAAAAACTTGTCACTGATACTGATCTTAAGTCGCAGAAATTGCAAACGTTCGAACCGGTAATAGGAATTTTAATTGCACGAGATATCGACGCAATTTCATTGAGAATAATACTAGATAATAAAATATTACGCTTTTTTTGTTACATAAAAACAAAATTATCAGCGCGTATTATAAACATTATTCGGAAAAACTTGTACGTATCTTTAAATAATGCGTATTAATTTATTATTCATTTTTGAGTATATATTTATAAGGAAAAATTTATTTAACATTTCAATCATCGTTTGATAGAATATTTGTACCGATCTTTTTTTTTATCGGATTGACTCAATTTATACTTCTTGAATAATTTAATTTATTCGATATTAGATAAATAGATATATATTTTTAAAAATATCTTTACGAAACAATGACTAACAATTCTTGCACGCATAAAATGAATATCCCGATTGAAACATTATTTCGATATCCTATAACATTCGATATAAGATATTTATATTCGATATCTATAACAGAGTCAATTATTCTAAGAACAAAGATATAATAATGATTTAAAATGAGATGTCCTAGTCAACGGAGGGTATCAAATAATTAACGAATTATTAATCGATACTGAAATATTATTAACCTAAATAACCTGTAAATCTTTTTACCCACCAACGACGACACAACGTAAAAAGTTCACCGGTGCGTTAACACGCTAAACCCCATTCATAAACCACAAGTGTTTTTCTCGTGCGTTAAACTTTATCGGATCAATATATATTATTATAACGAGCTTATGTAAAACATCCACTCGTAGTTCTAACCGAGCAAGAAGAATATACAGAGGAAAATGGCATTTGCTGTGGTCTACGCATGAACGAGAAAGACCTATTACCGTTCTTCCATTCTATCTTTTCTCTTTTCATTTTCTTCTCTCTACTACTCTCCTTCTTCTTCCTCTTCCTCTTCTCTACATATGTCTTAGGATTTTTATGTTCAAACTAACATGCTCGCACACGTATCCATCGACAATAAAAAGCAGGGGTTCTTCGCGGTCGACAACCGCTCTGTAATCTATATATATATGTATATATCTATAGGAAGAAAGAAAAAGAGAGAGAGAGAGAGAGAGAAGCTTTCAAACGTCCGGACACGCTGCTTCGAATATATATCCAACTATATGTACACACTCACACATTCGCGAATGAACACGCACGAATCTCTAGTGTAAAGCACCCCACGTGTGAAATATGTACATACACACATATGCAATAGAATACATATATATATATATGTACACCCGCGCATAAAAGATATACGAGAAATCGAGAGTTGAATAATAATAAGACGACGTTTTAAGACGATCGACTGTTGAACGACGATAAAGAACAATGACTATCGATCAATGATCGCATTTGGGTTAACTAATCCGGAAGATCTCTTCCTACATACAATACTTTATATAAATGTTTATATTATTCATATAAAATGTATATAAATATATATTTCATATAACGGGTCAAAATTATTTCAAATAGGAAGTACGAATATCTCATTGTCAATTAATTTTGATGACATTATCATCATTGAAAATAATATCATTTCATCAAAACATCGTATATTAACCATGCATAATATTCATTAATATAGAGTACATCTAGGACAATCTACGATTTGCATAATATTTATAATAATCGTACAATTAATAAATTTACGATCGATATAATGAATAAAAAAATAAAAACTGCTTAAATTTATCATGAAATGCTAAATGATGTTACAATAATCATAATTGTCTGAAATATTCCTTGCATAAGACAATATCGCCCACGTGACTTAAAAAAATAATTCATTCAACTTTCCTATGCAATCGTATTACTAATGCAAGACCAAATGGCAGAAAAGCTAGTAAACGCACACTGCGTGGGTAGAAGCCTTAAGAAATTCCTAAATCCGGGGTGTATCGGTTTGTAGACGTGTTAGGTAACGTTCCTTTTCAGCCATTCTCGCCTATTTCTAGCCACGTTTATGTTCTTTAACGTTACACAGTGAATATACTTGTCGTTCCTCTACTATACAAGTTAACAGCTTCCCTTACTACAAAATTACGTATATGTTGACTGAAAAACGAAAAAATTTTATTGACTCAGAAAAAAAGAAATAGCTATCGTAAAAACAAAGATATAACAGGCCTTTCTATTTGATCTTTATATGCGAAACATCCCCTTGCTTAAAAGCAATATATATACAACTTAATCTTCGCAAGTCTTAACTATTTTTAATATACGAATATATAAATAATCAAATATAAAAATAAGATCGCGTTATTACATTTATACGATAAATCAATCTTTTATTACATCTTTCGATTAAAATACTGCAAACATTTTTGGAATGTATCTCAATAATATTCGAATAAAATAATAAACAAGATAATAAATATCACACTAAATGATTTACTATCACACACTGATTACTATCACATTAAATGTGTTTAAAACAGTCTGACACTAATAAATAGAGTAATTCTATAGAAAAACATTTCGCATTCCTGTTCTCAATTCAAGAACAGATAAATTTATCGTCAAAGCAAGTTTAATGGTATTAGTAGTAAACGATTTTACAGTTAAAACGGATTCACCTGGTCGGTAAGAAAAAAAAGAAAGAAAGAGTGAAGAAGGTGAAAGAGAGAAAGAGAGAGTAGTCCAGGATAAAATGGAATCTCTGAAAGCAAAAAAGAGAGAGAAGCTTCCATTCTGGGAACAGCAGCTGTTCCTTTCCTTCGGTTTTCTCTCCCCGCCCTTTTTCGAGCTCTTTCCTCCAGCAGCTGCACTCTGTTTCTCTACCTACGCTTCTCGAACCTTTCACAACGGCTGGTTGGCCGAGCAACGACGAACCTCCTATAAGATTTAGAAGAGAACACAAGATCATCCCGACAAAGACAGAGCAGCTTGGTTTCGCTACAGCAAACCACAAGGACGGATATCGTGAGAAACTTTTAAAATAATATCATATTGATACCGAACATCGTGGGACTCTTTTTCAAACTGAAAAAGCAAGAATAATAATATTGTTCGAACAACCTTATACACGCGAATTCCTTTGTAAATTACATCCAGAAAATAATGCACGCTAATACACCTGACAGGATGAAAAATTTATACATTATATAATATTATATATAGTTAAATCAACTTTGAGAAAGTATTTATTTTAGAATAAATTATATTTTTTAAGAATTTTTCAGTATAATTCTATCAGTTTATTCTATAATTCTATATTCTATCGAAATAAATTTCATATAAATGTATAGATTTTTACAAACTTTATTACAATGTTAATGAATATTGTTCTTGCAATTAGTATGATACATAGGGGTAACGATAAATGCAATCATTTATTTTCTTCCTTTTACTTATAAAATGTACCAATGGAGTTTGGTTAAAAAGTCCTAAAACACTATATATAATAATGTTTTCAATAATATTTAAATAATATTATTAATAATAATAATAAAATAATAACAATAAATAAAAATAATATATCAAAGATCTTTCCATATTCGTTACACGTTGAATCAGTTCTACAATAAAGCATAGTTCATAATCATTCTAACGAAGCTTTTCGTGTTTCGAAACAGGTAGTAAGGTATCCATGACATTTAATCCTTTTATGCTAGGGTACGTAACGATCTTTGACTCAAGTAAAACTTGCTTTCGCTTATCGTTAAAGTACTATAGTGCCTATTAAAGAAAGAAACAAGCAGAAATTAGATAGAGTAATTAGACGTCTTAGAAATCGTGACCGTGAAAAAAATCAAGTTGAAATCAAACATGGTTAATCGTCAACTTATGCGAATTTGTAGACACATCATAAGAATAGATATTAATCCTTTATAATTCTATACTACTTTGAAGTCACATATCAACGAATAAACATTTTTATTAAATCTTATTATTACCGAATATGTCTTACATATATGTTATTTTAAAATCTCATTCTCTGCTAACCAATAATTAATGATTCTTTATGTAGCAATTATCAACTCTCTACCTTGAAATATATCAGAGTATATTTAATATCTTTAAAAATTGTTCTTCAATTGTTAGTTTGTATTTACTATTTGTTGATAATAAATTATATAAATTTTTTTAATCGTATAAGAAATTAAAGCTATAAAGGATTAAAAGAATAATCAATTCAAATGAAATTGTAAAAATTCAACTTACCATGAGTCAATGCCAGTATAGCCAGTAAAATCATAGTAAAGATGTAGGTAGGTGCTTTACACCCCCCTCCTGGAGGTTCACGCCACATCCTGATCGCACTGATTTTCACCTATATAGTACACAAAACACACGTCTCAAACGATTTTGCACTTTTTCTTCGATTTTTTCGTGACAATCGCACCACCCGTCTGGACTGAACTGTTTCAGATACTCTCGAGTTCGATGGAAGACTTCCATTATACGATTCAAGACGTTACGTTATTATCGATCGCAAAACGCGAAAACGTCTAGGCTCAATCGAAATCATTAAAACATTATGTATAGCATAATAAAAAAAAAAGGCAATTAAAACGATTTAAACTAATGTAAGTATACATAAGCATGTACAGAAACGTACGATAACATATTTGTTTAAATCTTGAAGATAAAAATTTGATTTAAAATAAAAATGAATTATTTTCGGCAATCGGTCGTACTTTGCAAATTTGCATATATTCCTACGCTTATATACGACCAATAATATCTTAAAATATGCATTCTAAATAATATTCAACACACAGCATAAAAAGCTTATGTATATGTGTATTTAACAAATATCTATAAGTGATAATCGGCAAACAGGCGTTAGAAAAATAATGATAAAAATAAATATGCGAACATCTCTTTACTATTCATAGAAATTTGTGATTAAATAAATCAAATAAAAATATAAAATAATTGATGTGTTGTCTATAGAGAAAAAGGGAAAAATGAATTGATAACTTGAGTATTGACTTATTGAAAGATCTTTCGAAAAATCGTGTCTTTTAGCATTTCGTTCAAATTGTGTCTAAATCGTTCGAGTCGAATTGGCATCACTAAAGTTAAAATCATCGTTAAGACGAAGTAAAAGGTTTGACGATTTTTGAAAGACATGGTATCTCGCATCGTACACGTGCTGAATCTCTGATGGGCTGAAAGGGTCGCCGTTGGACAGCGATGGCGGTCGTAGAAACTGAGAAAGGAATGACAAGTGAGATAGAGAGGGGATGGTAAAGAGGATGAGGTAAAAGACAAGTAAACCCCCTCTGAAAGGGAGGAAAAGGAGGGGGAGAGAAGCACACGGAGGAGAGAGCTGCTCCCTCTCTCGCTGGGTTTATTGATCGCAGGGTGCGGAACGGACCGAGCTACCCTTCGTGCAACCGTACGCCATGCTTGATGGTATTTGCTCCAACGAGATAGTTTGCTCGTTTGCCCACAGCTTTTCTTCATTCCTCCTCTTTCCTCGCTTATCCAAAGTTATGCTGGATTATAAATCAAATTTAAAAGAAGGGAAATGCTTGCTGACAACAACAAATTCAATAGTTAACAGATATTCTAGTTAAGATTTGTAATACGGCGTGATTGAACAAAGACGATGACGATGACGATGACAATAACGATACGATCACGTTTTAGCTACGATGATGTCACTGTCCTCAGGACGATACGATCCGTCATCTTGAAAGAAACGTGTTAGCCAGCGAAGCAAGACAAACATGCTGACGGTAAAAAGCGTGGCTTTGTCATGCTGTAAATCATAGTCGTCCCAGTCTCTCTCTCTCTTTCTCTCTTTTTCTCTAATGATCCTATCTTTTTCATAGAGAAAAGAATAAAGAAAGTGAGCCCGAGAAAATCTGGAATAAGAGACGGGACAGAAAAGAAGACAAAATAAAAAAGATCGTTGAAGGGGAGTCGCTCTTGGTGGTAACCAAGGCAACGCGCACAGCGTAGCAGTAAGTTTAAGCTCGTGGCAAACAAATTTTGAACAAATGATTTTAAAATGTTCCAATATATTTCCCCCAGTGGAAAAATATAAAGATCATTTCAAAAATTCATGTAAAAAAATAAGAAAAAGACGGTCATGGAAGATAAACGTCACTCGTTTTGAATTCTTTGAATACTCAAATAAGGACGGTGCCGCTGAGATTCTGGCTTTTTTTAGCGATAAACCGCAGCTGAACCAGTTAAGTCCAAGTAAAGGCTGTAGTACGATTGTCACAATTCGATGATTTTCGGACGGTGATCACTCGCGAATGGTACATCCACGATAGATGATCACGTGCACGCGCACACACCCACAGGAAAGAAGGATGAGATTATCCTTGAAGGATACTCTCACGCTCTCTTTCTTTCTTTCTTTTTTTTTTTTTCTATCTTTCAATCCTTTTTTCTCTTTTTTTTTTCCCCAATCGAAGTGGCGGAAATATATCGAAGCACGATCATGATAAAAAAAAAATTACTTGAAGATATTTATGTCTCGAATCTTCTCGAATAATCACGTCATTAACGAGAAAACTTACGTACGTACCGAAAACGACAGCAGGGCTTACAGATGCGCGTCGATCGTAAACGAACGTAACGAAGACCACGTAGTTCCTTCGACCGTAGACGACCGAAGAATGTAAGCTGGTGAACGGCGTCACTCTCCTCGACGGTGCTGCTACCATCACTTCAGTTCTGCACGCCTTGGTGGGGACGAAGGGGAGGCACTGAACTCTCACGACTGGATGCTGGAGAATGAGGGGAAAAGCGCCCGTTTGCTTCCTCGAGCATGCAGGAAACAGTCAATGCTCCTCCAAATGTATATATTCCTATATAATAACATATATCCTATATTACAGACACAAATATTGATAATGTAGATATATCAAAATATATGATACGTTGCATAACATTTGGGACGTATTAACAACTTATTCTCCATCTGATAACATTACTTGATTAATATTAATTATTTGTATACTGTTTCGTAAAAAAAGAGTGCATATAGTTTTATACAAAATTATTTGAAAATGTTTATATATAATTTATGTATATATGTATATGTACAATTAAATATAAAATAATTTAGCTATACACTTATGCAAATATATGTACATAAAAACGTTTACGTAGAAACGAAATATGTATAAGATTTGATAAACAAAATTACTTAATCGAACTTTGTAATGCACTTACGATTAGTTTATTTTCATTTCTTATCTAAATAAATTTTACATTAGCTATTCAATGTTGATTGTTTATATGGATAATGTAGACATGAATTAACTGCTGAATAAAACACGAACTATTTTATGACTTACATATGTTTTTCCCAAGAATACGTTACATAGCAGGTTTATGCAAATATAATTTTCAACGTATTCATTATCTAAAATAAAAACTATAGTTTCAATCAGTAAAATAATAATATTTTAGATTGATGGAATAACAATGTTTTCGAAATTTTGGAACATAAATTCAATTAGGTAGATAAATATTTTACTATAAAATTAAAGATTAGTAAATACTTTTCAATAAATTAAATATAATTCTTAAAATAAATGATTATCATCGAAATTAAATTTGCCGAGAAACTTATTGATAAAAAATAAAATATTTTTCAATATCTTCGGGATTGTATTTGAAAATTTTAGCAGGATAAAAATCGATATTTAATTTCAAATGTTTTAGATATGATAAAAAGTTTGCCATGATTGAAATATATCACAACAAAAAAATACAAACGTTTGCTATGATTTCTAAACTATTATTACGAATATTTAAATAGTCAACGATAATAATCATCTTTTATATTTCCTCTATTTTCTATATTATATTTAGAGCAAAAATAGTAAAAACAAAAGGGCAGAAATATACAAAATAACTTATAAAAATATGAACAACAAAATATATGAAAATGCGCGCGAAAAGTTTATTTAAAACTTAGAAGATAAAAATGTTCTCAGCAAACTTCGTTTTGTTGAGAGCGCCATCTTCTGAGCCCATTGATTGGTGGATATTAATTGTAATAATATGATGCATTTCATTTAAAAAATTCTTTTTATAATATTGTATATTATATAAATACTACCGGGTTATTGTGCCTCAAATTATAAAAAATAAAGCAATTGATATATAAATAAATAAATATCTTTTATTTCGTTTTTCCTCCTTCAGAGGTGCTATCTTCGTTTTATCAAAGAATTGGTGAAAGTTCATTTTTCAATGGTCGCCACCTTAACGATACTCCGATTGGTTTGTTTGAATGTTGGGGGTATTTAAATATGGACGTCAAATATAGTTTTTCCGTTATAGTATGTTGTATTTTCATTTTTTATTTCTCTTTATTTATATAAATAACGGATTGTTCATTAGGAAAATAATTTATTATATTTACAAATTATTCATACCTTTGAAAGGGCTAAAACAAATAAGTTTAATAAAAGAAAACATTTTCTTTGTCCATTGAACGATTACTATTGTAAACTAAAAATACATAAGTCCGTAGGATTCTATCTTTTTTATATTATTTTTTTATAAATGCTTATTATGGAGAAATATCAATATATGAGAGCATTTATATCAGCTGCCTTAGAATATGCAAAGCATCCAAGTGAAACGACTATATCTGCTATACAAAGAAATCTTGGGGTAAAATTATGACAATTATTATTTACATAAGTCCGTTTAATTTTCTGTATTTCCTATAGATTAACTTATTTCTATATATTAAACATCTAATTAAAAGACATTTAAATGTATTTCTTAAGGTCATAAGTGTGTCATTGGATCTGTGCATTTTTGATCCTACAACTTCAATAGCTGCTGAATTTTATGTCAGCTTGCACGAACTTATGAATTCTTTAGGATCTAGAACAACATTAATTTGGAGTACTGTAGATGTTCTACAGAATGCTTGTCGAAATACAAATGCCAGACAAGCTCTTATTCATACTTATAAATTTGCTCCCATATTAGCACGATTATTGGAGGTAAATGCTAGAAATATACACACAAAATATATGACGACCTTTCTAATTTTAACTATCTTCTTAGGCTAACTTGACAAGTGAGAAGAGAATACGTGTTTTGAAACTTCTACAAGAATTAACTTATGGTGTCAAAATTTCTTGGCAAGAGGCACATTTACCATATTTAATATCCATTTTAACTCAATGGGTAATGCAAGTGAAAGAAGAAGAAATTATTGCCCTTTCTTTAGGTGTACTTGTAAATCTTTGTTACAAAAATCTTGCAGCAGTTTATACATTAATGCGCACCATTGATACCAAAACATTCATACGAACGTTATTAAAAATTCATAGCAATAATGTTAGTACAAGCGTTCCATGTTGTAAACTTTTGATTATACTTGAAGATACTAATACAAATATATCAGAAAAACATATATTGGATTTTGCTGCTGTTACATTTACAAGTTTAATAAGTGCTCTTAAAAAAAAAGATGTATTATTGTTAAGACATATTATTGATTTCTTTGAGGATGTTGGACAAAATGAGCATTCGCGAACTATACTACTTACATATGCAAAGTAAGTACTACAAATAAGATATTCTAATGAATTTTGTCTTTTTTTATTAATTTTGTTAATTTGTTTTTAGTTATAGTAAAGATGTAGAACATTTATTGGCTACTTTAGAATGTGATTCTGATCCAGACTGTGTAGCACTCTTAATGGAATTTTTACTATCATTAGTAAAATTAAAAGTAACTGCTTTGATTCCATTATACCCAGTATGTGTGAAGTCAGCTATGACATGGGTACCTGTAGAACAAGTAAGTATCTTTCTTCTATTTATTTCTTTTTCTATCCGCCTATATTTATTTCTTTTCCTTTTCATTTGTAGGTATGTTCTAAGGCATTAGCACTCATTAGGATAATTGTGATTGAATCACGCCGTACAAAGATTTGTACAGAAGTTCTTACCGAACTAGATCCATCTGTTCTTATGCTTATAACTAGCACAGAGGATGATGAAATGCAGGGAAAAAATGAACTTCAAAATACTGACACACAAGGCAGACTTGCTGAATTAATGCAATTATTTCAAGAAATGGTGAAAATTTCAGGACTTCGATCAAAGGTGTTGAAGACATTTAGTGAACAAGCAATGCGTAAACTGTTAAAACCAATATTGGAATACGAAGAAACTACAAATCAGGATTGGCCTGGAAATCTTATTCAAGTACAGTAACATTGCAAGTTTCCAGCATAATTAAAATTCAATCTCATTTGAAGTTTGCCAAAAATTGCTTATTTAAAGTATAAATAACTCTTGTTTAAATTCTTGTAGAATTCTACAACAAATCTTTATATACATGCCTTAGTTTTAACAGCAGATTTGGCAGCTAATAATTCCAATTGGTTAACATTATATTCTGAATTACTTCGGAAAAAACAAATACAAATGATAATGGCATTGGCATTATTCACGGGTGATGGAGAAATTAAACACAAAGTTTTACAATTAACATCATCTGTAGGTTTTCCACAGGAATGGTAAGTTAAATCCAAACATATATATATATATATATAATAACATATGTACGCATATACATGCACATACATTTAAATATATGTTTTTTTCTTATAATCAGTGTTGCTGCAGTAGCACAATGTATGAGACAATTAGAACCTTTAGTTTTGGTACAAAGCAATGCTAATACTGTAACTGGACTGGGAATCAAACCTAACATTAATTACAATGGAAATGATATGGCTCCATTATTTTCATTTAGTCAAGAGGAACGTCTTAACGCTTTTATAAGTAGACTTGAAACAGCTATTGAGTCTAATCAGATAGGTGATATTACAACTTCAGCTGTAATGGAACTGTACGAATACAAAGTAATATTTGCATTCTTTCCTGTATCATAAAATATAATAAACAGATCTACATTTATATCTCTGTTTTAGAGCTCAGCCTGCCAATATTACACTACAGTTTTTCTTAATCTGATTATGCTTACTATATATTATAATATATAGATATTCTATTTATTTACTTTAATAATAACTCTAAAGCAGTGATATGAATGTCTATTAGAGGAAAAAAAATAATATATAATCATATAATTATAACTTATAAAAGTTAGCAGCTATGAGACACGCAGAAAGAGCCATGCAGTCTAGCTTAGAAGCTGCAAATAATCATGCCACTAGTTTGCAACATCGACTGGCTCAAGTAATAGCAGAATCTAGTCGTTTACATCAAATGTTATTCGACACTCAGCAATGTTTAGAGGGTATAAAAGCCGAGAAAGTAACATTAGCAATAAAATTTAATGAAGTCGAAAGTCAAATGAAGAAAACACTTTCTATTAAAACACAAGTAAATTCAAATCTTCTAGAAATTTAAATAATACAATTGTATGAGTTGTGTATATGTATAAAGGAAAGAAAATAATTATATAAACACGTATGATAATTTTTTATAGGAAATTGATGGATTAAAAAGAATCATAACAGAAAAATCTGCAAATATCGATCAATTGAATAAAACATTATTAGAACGTGTAAAAGAAGCAGAAATTTGTATGAACAAAATTGATACATTAAGTAAAAAAGTAGTAGAATTGGAGACTGCATGTTCAGTTGCAGAAACAAATGCTACAGAGATGACTAATAAAAATCATGAGTTAGGCAAACTTTTATATAAAATGCAAGATTCCATTAATAAAAAAGAACAAGTATGTAAACTTTTCATAAATCATATTCAATCGTTCATCAAATTATATTAATAAATAATTTATTTCTTACAGACTATAGAATTAAAAAACAGTGAAATAGAAGCTAATCAGAAAGATATATCGGCACTAAAACAAGAAGTTCAACAATTAACCAACTTGACTAAGTCTTACGAACAAACTTTAGCCGAAAAAGAGCAAAATATAAAGAGAATGACTGCAGAATTAACAGACCTAAGTCGAATGAGAGATATGATTTTCGAACTTACAGCCAAAAAAAAGGATGATTTGAATGCAACCTAATAGAACAATAAAATAAAATAATTTTATACTTCTGACCAAAAATAGTATTGTTACAAATTTCTTTCTTCTCTTTTTTTTGGCTCTTCTATATTTATCGAATGTAACATTACTATTTTTATTAAGGATTTACGTGTAAAATACGATTTTCATATTTTATTATAGTATTTGCAATATACTGTGCATTTAATAATGTTTCTTACATTTATGAAAACTGAACAAAAATATAAAACTAATATAGTTTGTAAGGTACATATCTATCCTTAAAAAAAAGATTAAGAATATTAAGGAAAAATATTTGTAAATAATCATTATTACTAATACACTTTATTATAATCATGTTAAATAATCATCGATAATACAATATTAAATTCTTTTGGTAACAGAATATATCTTTTTTTTCATTTGAAAGATCAATTATGTTTTAAAAATGGAAAAAAAGAAGAATAAAAGGATGCACTTGGACTAATTAAAAAATTGAATATATTTGAATTTTTTTTCTCTCTCCACGTAATTTTATTTGAAATATTAAATAGAAAAAATTTGGCTTCAAAGTTCTTACAAATAAAAAGTATGGACCTTATAACGACAAAAAAATCTTTACAAATAACAAATAAGAACTTACAACAATATAGAAATATGTAAATTTCTGTAAAAAATAAAGCAGCTCAGATAGCAGTTAAATACAATATTATTCCCAATTTTTGTTGGAAAAGACAAAGAATAATAAAAAAGACTATATTATACATAAATATTCAGTATGTTTTGTTAGGCGAAATATAATAGGTTCTAAAGAGAGAGTTAAATTTTGATATAATATCTAATAGTTCATAAAATTTAAATGTGATAAATTTAATATTTGTATTTTTTATCAATCTGACTGTCGAATGCGACGCATTAGAAATTAAATAAGCAACAATTTTCTAAATGTTGTTCTAAATATTTTCGATAAAATCCGTGCATTAATAAATTTCCCTCTCCTTTTTCATCTTTCTTCCGCTCCCTCTCGCTCTCTTTCTCACTCTCATTATTTCGCAATAAGTGTATTTTTATAGATCAATTTATTATTTTCTATATGATAATATAAGTTTCACATCTATCGCGCGTGGAGGTCACGCACATTCTTTTTTTTATCTCTTAAAAAATCCCAGATATTGTTAAAGATATGTTTTTAATTAGACATAAGAAATATCGGAATATTACCAATCATTTATTACGAATATTGTTTCAATAATTTTACAATACGATCATTCTCTCAGTACTGTTTTTAAATCTTTCGCAAAAGCGAAATCTAAGTGAGAGAAATATTTGCTTGGTACTGCTTCAAAGATCACTACATTTGGTAGCTTTTTGTAAAGTTTAAGCAAATACTACGAAAAAATAAATCAAGATTAATTATTATTGACAAAAGAAAAGAATTCGTTATATTCTAATCGTAAAATAAAAATTATAATAACCTCTTTATGTACAAATGTATCATTTTTTCCATATAGCAAGGGCTACTGGGGTTGTTATTTTAGTTAAATTGTATTCTTGTGGTTCTTTTTCTACTAAGGAGGGATCTCCTAAGGGGTGATCATCTCTTAAGGGGTCTGCGATAGATAAAAACTCTTAAATTTCGGTATTAATTTCAAAGAAACACCAGGTGAACTTTCGAAGTTTTAACTTTATCACCCATTTTATATTTTTTCGCCGCTTTATGTTTCCGATTATAGTTTTATTCCGACATAATGCAAGATTTCTGTTAAAGGAGTTGTCTTCAACCACGAAGATTTGTCTACCTAAAGTGTCGACGTGTAACATTCACGCTCTTTAAAATAATTTTGCTAAAAATTTATTTCGAATTTTGAATTTTTTTAGAATATACCCATTTTTTGAATGATCTAGGTGGTCAGATCCCTTAAAGATATACTATTAATATATAAACAATAAGTCTTATACTCAACTGAATTTTTTACCTCGTGTCTATTAGTATTATGCCATATAATACTGACACGTAACGCGATTACATAATTTCATAGATGAACAAAATATATTAATACGTTTTTACTCCACAAGAATGACAATAAAAAAGGTAAATAATATTTTCCAATAATTTATACTGAATTACATGCACTTGTTTTTATTACTCTTTTTTTCTACAGATTCCATGACTTTTACTACACGTTCTCAACACAGCTCATAATTTTTAAAAGAAGTAGTCTTTTAAAAATGACTAGTAAAAATAATTAGTTTCTTTAACAAGTCAAAACCATTTACTTATAGTCATTATAATATCTTATTTATTACAACCATACGGCCGTTCTTATACATACTTATTTGAATTTTCGGAACGCAGTGGGTACAAATGCGATACGCTCGACGCTCACATTTCAACTGATAATGTGCATAAGCATTTATACATAACAAATAGTTGAAAAGATTCTACGGAGCCCATTAAACATATTCCTATGGTTAAAAGTCTCTGAAAAAAAAATTTTTTTTTGGACTTTTGTCCACGTTTTCGAGATTTTAGATCACTGTACAACGCTTCGTGTTCTTATCTCAAATACGCATACAAAATTATACTCATAGACTTTCAATTTATCGTTCGTAACATATTAAAAACGAAGGAATATTGTAAATTTAGGTATCACCAGGGGATCGAAAGTATTGATTTATTAATATTAAAATCAATTATATCGCTTTTATAGATTTTATTATATTTAAATAAATCATTAAAAGTCTTTCATTAATTGTAATACTCGATCATATACTAATGATTTCATATCTTTCGCTATAATAAAATCAAAGTGAGAGAAACATTCGTACGGAACAGCTTCGCAGGTGACAAGATTAGGTAATTTTTTGCTTAATACTGTAGCATCCTATAACAAAAATGTTAAATAAATGAATATGTTTGAAAATATAATAAAATTAAACTTACTTGTTCATTTGTTAAAGCGTCGTTAAGTCCGTAGATTAATGCAACTGGTGCAACTATTTTCTTTACGTTATAAATTGGAGGTTTTGGTGTTTTATAATTAATAACATTACCTTCGTATCCATAATCATAAGCTTCGAAATTACCTTATAATAAAATCGATTAAAAAAATGAAAATTTTACATTTAATTAAAAATTCAAATAAGTAATAATATCTCATAATAACAATATTTATATATATATAAGAAAAAACAATTTTACCTGTTAAATAATTTTGATAGTAATGGTACAAACTTTGAGTCGATGTGCCAGCAGGTAAATAATTCAAGAAGTATGACATCGTTGACTGTAAACAAGATTTTCTATGAACTTTATGTCATCTTTAAATATATATGTAAATTTAATATATGATCTCTCATATTTAGTTATAAATATATTATTATTACTATTATTATATATATAAATACATAAAAAAAATAAATATAGTACTTATAAGTATAGTTATTGCTTTTTTACACGCTATTTTTATTCTATATAATAAATAGATATAAATTTTACGCGCATACTATTATTAGCTTACTTTATTCATTTGTGCAGTATCACGTCCCGAAATACTATACAATAACCATGTACATATTGGCAGGAAAATTGAATTGTTGTTACAAAAATATTTACCTAGTGATTTTGATAATTTTGATTGTGGCAAGAGGTCATAAATACCCTCTTTCTCTAACATGACCTGTAAAAGATTTTTTATTTATGCAAATAATCCACATACGTACGCATATATAAATATATTTTATTTCTACTTTATGTATATACATATTATATATATGCGAACAATTAATATTTACCTTTAATTGTGGAGTTATTTTTACCAAATACTCTAATAATGGTGGAAATTTGTGTTTAAAATAAGAAACAGGTCCTAAACTTATAACTAATCTCATTTTAACATTGTAACTCGGCTTCATAGATAACATAACGTAGGAAGCCGATGTACCCATAGAATGCCCTATGTAAAATAATTTCCTTGATTTTGTATAATTAAGAGCATAGTCGATGCTCTGAGGAACATCGTGTAAGCCAATATCGTGGTAACTGTTGAACAGAAATCATTTGTCCATATATAAATAACATGAAATAAAATTAATTAATATTATATTATGTTTGAAATTAATTTTATATATCTTATACATAATATCTATATTAATATGTATGTGTAACCATTAAATTGTATAATGTAATTAATTCATGAAAAATTTAACAACACGAAATAATTAGGCGTTTTAGGAAAAGCATATAGAAAAAATGTTATTATACACTTAAAAGAGTTGTTTTATGAAATAACTAATTGTAAAATATGAATTCACGAGAGGCGAGTAATTAAACTATGAGATTGAAATTTAATCCACTTTTAAACTTTGCTTTTTCTTTTTACAACGATATTCGTAGTCATCTGTTTTTATATTTTTCCGTACTTTGAACAAAAAATGTTATATTAGATATGCTGTTTCTATCGGAATTCTTATATTACCTAATTAAAATATGTAGTTTAATGGTTTAACTGATTACTTCACAGTTTTAACAGTAACATTTGTATATAATGAAAAAACTCGCGTTAAAATACGTCATCGATAATGTGTTTTCAACACTATACGGAACTTATTGTAGACGAAATTATACCGATAAACGTTATATTCTTAAATACTTTGCAACATCATTGAAAATAAAAAGTTTCTTATCCGAAATGGTTAAAATTTCTTTAGAGTTATTTAAAATGTTTATCCGAACATTATCGACTATTTTATCTTCATATTATTTATACCTGAATTTCCAAAAATTTGGGTCATCCGTTGTCATATTAACATGAGATCTGCAATAGGTATTTCCTCGAAAATTTCCAAGCCAAACGTCATATCCTTCATCAGCAAGTAGAAAAGCTAAAAACGCGTATATAATTATTATTATTATTTTTTTTTTTATGATATATATTACCTTTTTTTTACTGATATTTAGAAAAATTTCGACATGTACTCGACAATACTTATTGCTAACATATTTCCCCTCTAAATTTTTGTATTTTCTTATTAATTTCGCATAAATTATATAAATATATTATTATTTGTTGCATCCTACATATTCTAGAAATTTTGGAGAATAGGTCCATATTTTTTGTTTATAAAAAATTAATTAATAAACAACAATTTCACGAAGTTTTATTTCAAATTGATCAGTATATGAATACTTTCTACACCTACTCTGTATATAAAACGGATTAGTTTAGTCTTACAATTATTTAACACTTTCGTTATTAACAACCCATATAAAGATTGTACCATGCGATGATATGTATGTACAAGTGATTTTAAGTGAAACGATACTCGCGCCAAAGTATGTCTTAACGAAAGGCTTAATCTATTAGAACACATATCGATCGGTGAAGTGTAAAATTGTCGATAATTGTATATGAAACATATGGTCTACGTTATCGGTACTTTTAACAATAAGATGGACTTTCAGATAAGATATAGACTTAAGAAGATTTTTAAATGTAAGATAAGAGTTTTTGTTTTATTAAATGTAATTATCAGTGACTTCCACTTTCTTTTCCTCCGAGAGTTTTAATTATATATTAAAGTATATTGCAAAGTTATATTTATATTATTATATAATATACAAGGTGTCCCAAAAGTCACTTTATCGAAAAAAAGAAGAAAGAAATATCAATATTAGTTTATTATTAAAATAACAATATTTTATTTTTATATTTCAAGATAAGAATCTTTATAAATCTGTGCCCGTCTAAGTACTTGTCAAAATAGAAATCTTGTTAAAAGAGATTCTGTATATTATAATTATTAATTAATTTATTGACGTACTTTATAATAGAAAATATACTTAAGATCTTATGTGATTTACTTACGAAGACTTCGTTCAGGTTCCAAGAAAACCCATGAATCAGATGATGCAAGCTGCCCGTGTAATATAAAAACAACCGTTTTTTTTGTACTATTGTCTGATATAGGACTATAAGGTATCCTATGTATTGTAAGAATGTATCCATCATCTGTAGTAACTTTGTGCTCTTCGGCTGGATATCCGTGACGTTCAACTAACCCAATCTAAATATATATATGTATGTAAAAAATCTTTCTTTTACCCAAAATAACTAGGCTTTTTTAGAAAGTATATATATAAATAGAATGTTATTAAACGTTAAAACTAATAGGTTTAAAAAATAACTAGTTACAATTAGTTAAAGTATGTAATTCTGCCTTTTTTCACACTTCACTGGTCAGTTTAATAATTGCAGAGTTAGCTCATCATTTCACGAATCAATTAACGAATTTCACACAAAGTTAACGCTAATTATATATATTTATATATTTATTTTGAATGTAGCAAGAAATATGTTAATAGAAATTTATTACAAAACAATATTATCAATATTTATGTATGTGTATATATAATCATTGACAATGAATAAAATACAAATTATTTTTTTTGTAATTAATTCATAACTTTAAGTACCACAAGAAATAAGATACAGGTTCATTACAATAAAACTGCTCTTGTATTTATGAATTTAATCGTATTACATCGCACGCAAGAATCATCAATATACTCTGATGTATTAAAGTATTGGAATATATAAATATATTACTATATTTTATTGTAAAAAAAAGAAATTAATATTAAACTTACGAAATCTAAGACAGTATCATCACCGTAAAGTTCCGATTCCCTTCTAACCTTCTTTAATTCATTTCCATCCGAAGACAAAATATATTTTAGCAAAGAAAAAGATGAAGTTTTTCCGGAGCAATAATCGAATACTAATAGCATCGTTAAAATGATTAATTTCATTGTTTTCTTTAATTATATATAAAATAGATAGAGTATGAATCTCCGGTAGTATCTTCCGACGCATAACTTAATCTTCTGTACAATGAAAACACGATCGATCCAGCTTTATGTAGTCGTCTTTCGTATAATTAAATGCTAATTACTATTACATTTTTTTTCCTCCTTCAAACCTATTAATTTATGCATAAACTTCCATTTGAAAAATAACATTGAATATAAACATAACATAAAAAGGAATAAATACATTAGATGCAACGTGTATATGTATGTTGATTGAGTTATTAAAAAAATGTATTGTATTTTACCTTATTATGAACTCTTACACGTATTAAATTAAATATACATTCATTTTATTTATTTAAATATTTATTTTATATATTATTTATTTTTTCACTATTAGGAAAAAATATATAGCAAGTAATAAAATTCACAGTCTCAAATTCTTATCTCCGAACACTCGATTCTCAACTCTTTTTTATTTCTTTCTTTCTTTTTTTTACTCTGATGCTTCACTCTTATTCACACTTTGACAATCTTATTCTGACTATGATATAATATATGTATCTATAAACAAATTAATCTCGTATCCACACAACCAAATAACGCTAGAACCTTCCTTCAATTGTCAATCACCTGATTTCACATACATGCATGCACACGTCTTCTACTAGACTAAAATTACTTGTCAATCGTATTATTTCATAAGTACTCACACACATGACTAACACGCTCTAAGCCTTTAATTCTTCTCATACATTCTCACATTCCTACATTAATATATTTGTTTATTAATATATTTCCGAACATTATCAACATCATAAAATCGCATTAATGGTAAGCAATCTACGTGGCGCGTATAAATAATGATCAAAGTGTGTATTAAATAATAAGCAGTAAATTTAATTGGAAAAAAACTATTGGATAGATTAAAACATCGCTAGACAGGAGAATAATATTAAAATAGATCTTATAATTATAGCGAAATGAGATACGAAAGTTGCGAAATACGAAATGGAAGGGTCTTGCGCAGAGACGAGAACATTGGCGGGGTTTGATATTTGCTGCAATGAACTTTCAAGTTCCTAGGTCAGTTAATAATAATAATAATTTGTTTCATTTATTATTTATTGTATTTATATGTACCTGTACATTAATATATATATAAAGAATGTATCTAGCAACTGAATCGGACAATTCCGTAAAAAAATTTTGTTCCTTTTATGGATGAAAAACAATTGTAGAAAACAATTTTGCATTTTATAATAACATTTAGTGAAGAAGTTCGAATTTTGGCAGGAGTAAATAAAAATAACTGAAGAAGAAATAAAAGAAATAGTTCAACAATTTTATTCGTTTTTATTATTATAAGAATAAATAAACATCTGTTGTCTTATATTTTTTTCTAATTTCTTACAACTTTTTGGCCAATTTTTTATTCTTTCAATTATAAACAATTAAATTGTTTGTAATTTACTTAATTATGTATCGATTCTAACTTTCTTATCTATTGTTTCGGAATATATTCCTAACGCTTAATATACTTCCAAGATATTCATAACGAGTTCCTGTTGTAATAAACTTTTTATTATATGCTATTCGAAATTAATAACACCTGCCATTCTTGTTGTCCCTCAGAATTTTTAAATGTTCGCGTAACAATACATCATTAGAGATCGTTTAGAAACTTCCAGTTAGATTATTATATACAAACAAAATCTTGATAAACGCTTATCAATATTAATCGCTTTCGTTAAATGTCTATGTTTTGGGGAATAACAGATAATTAAATATATTTCATTTAACCTGTATAATATTCCGAAGTTTCATCAAAAACATTTTTCAAAAATAAGTTGTATGTATCCTCTTGTAATTTTATTGCCGCCTGAAATAATGAATGCACATATATAATGTATATATAAATGTATATTAGTATTTATTTATAATTAAATTAAAAATTCTTAATAAATTAAATTAAATAGATTAAATTCTATATAGTTTATAACTAAATTTAACTTCATAATTCATTAATACTATAAATATATTATATAATACATATTTTATATATTTATAATACATTATATATATACATCAAATCGACAACCACTTTTTTATTCAGGTGAAAATTTCGATTCAGGTGAAAATTTTATATGTTATTAAAACCGACAAAAGATAATCTTTTTTTAATTTTTACAACTACTCTTTTTTGAAATATGAATTTTTTTAGATATTTGTGAGGTTTTTTGTTTAAAATGCTTATAACTTGTCGAAAAATTCAACGAATAGGTCGTTTTTTCTTACTGTATGTTTTTATATGCTCTTTACAAACAAATTTTTGAAAAAATTCAAGTAATCACCCTCCTTTTTTTTTAATTAAAGACAAAAAATGTTTTTTTTTTATATGTATGCCACTTCCGATTTTTCTAAAAAAATTCGTAAAAAATTTTAAATTAATTTAAAGATTTTTAAAGTTAGCCGAGCGTGACAGAAAAGAAAGGAAGCTTAGAATAGAGGTGAGAGAATAGAAGTGAGGAGATATAAATGAATTAGTGTGTCAAGGAATGTGAATACGATAAGTAAAACTATAGACTTACTAGAGTAAAAAATTATGTAAAAGAGGAATGGAAACGTAAACACACTTTATAACACTTTCAAGACGTAACAAAAACAGTACATATGAAGATAAAAAACATAATAATCAAGTTGTGATTAAGAAATAAAAAAAAAATCTTTGACTCGATGCAGTGATTGCTTAGAATAAATTACGATCCTATGCTATTAACTATTGCATTGTCAGCATCTTGTATCAAGTGCTGACAAAGAACTGGTATATAAGAATATTAGTAAAACTTTGTATTTTTTTACCTTGAAAATGATTATGTTGTATTTACTCCTGGTGTGTAATATATTATTCTAAACAGCCTCTCTAATTATGTAAATTTAAAAAATGTCGGGTTTTACCATATTATACCAGTAATTATTTATCTTAAGTCTAACATTGTATAATATCGTTTCATAAAAAATTTAATTAATTATACAAATTCGATAAAAAATATTAGAAATTTCATTTAAAAAACTGAAGGTGACCATAATATCTCGATAAAAAAAGTAAGATAATAAAAAAGAAATTATAGTATTAGTACAGAGTAGAGTATCTAACAGATTAGAGAAAAATTTTGTCGTACAACGAATAACTTAGGAATTATTTGAAATTGTTATATTAGGATACCACCCGGTATATATATGGCAGAATGACAAAAATGGTAGAAATAATATGTGTGTGTGTGTGTACCTTTAAAAAATTTTTTTCCATCTTATCTGATTCATAAGTTTTGCAGAGTTCTTCATACTCAGATAATTTGTCATCCATATCTACATCGAATTTATTAATTAAACTCAATAACTGAGCTTCGGTTTTAATTCTACGGAAATCAAATGTTACAAATATTTAAATTAATAAATAATATTATATTGTGTACTGAAAGAATAAATATAAATATCGTTAATTTTTTATTAAATATATATTCAATGATACATAATATAATTATTCTTAATAGAGATTTAAAAAAATGGATAAAAATAACCTTCTGCTATTAATATCCGATATAGTTTTGAAATTTCTAGTTTGAATAGTTTCTAACTCTTTCTTGATATGATCTAATTGATCATGTAATTTATCTCGTTTCAATTCCCAACTTTTGTAAAGCAAATATTGTTTCTTTTCGTTATTATTACTAAACAAAGAAATCATTTTTTTATTAAAATAATTATTTAATTTTGAAGTACAAAAATCGTTTTGATATTTTCATAATTTTACCCAATACTTTTTATATCTTCTAAACACAATCGATTTAATCTATCGATAATCATTGTATCGTTTTTGTATTGTGTCATTGTACTTTCCATAGTCTTTTCTTTGTCCTCTCTTTGCGCTTCTAAATTTGCAATAAGTTCTAATAACATAGAAAAATATTTTTCCATCAGAAAACATAGTGATACAAAAAAAAGAAATACGTTGTAATATATAAATTACTATTGATTTCTTTGAGAGCATTTTTATGACGCAACCAAACACTCCTATAATGCAGATTTTTTGCCATTTCTTCATTCGGCATTAATTGCATTATTGATATAGCATAATCCATAAAATAATAAATATAATATTTAAATAATGACGATTGCGTTGAAATGTTTATTTCATATGAAGGAACAGCTGTACGAATACTTGAATAACTATACAATATCTAATTAAAAATCATCTTTTTATTTTATAAAAATAAAAATTTTCATTAATGAAATAAAAAATACCTTGAGCATTTTGAAAACCATATCATCAGTAATATCTCTATCTTCGTTTAATCCACTTGTCGAAGATTCGTACGAAGTATTTGAAGTTCTTGATAAAGCTAGATTAATTCCATTAAAAAAAAAAATTAAATAAAAATAATCAAATTTAAAAATAATTTTTATATAAAAAACATTTTTAATTACATAAATACGATTGATGCCTTTTATCAGTAAATAATATAATATTTTTTACTAACTCCATTTCTTCCTTTGTAAGGAGTGATTGTAATATTGAATTTTCAATTAATAAAGGCACTGTAATCTGCAATTATATATAATAATATGAATATAGCTAGAATAATATATATACATAAATATTATTATTATTTGTAAAATATTATTCACCGCTAATTGAAATTTATTTATAGCCTCATTAAAAATTTGCATGATACTTGTAAGAATAAAGTCTAAATCATTTTTCTTAGATTTTTTTTTAAATTTTGACATAATTGTATTACTCATCATATCTTGTTTCTATTACCAATTTTTACATTTACTATTAATGTATTAATGTTAGAAATTACAAAGATACAATAACTAATATCAAAAGTGTCATTTGAAATGTGCCACTATAGATTTGAATTAAAATTGTCATCAAAATAGACCAATTAGAAGTAATCACGTGACGTCTACGATACGTCCATGTCTAAATTACTGTTTTACCATTGGTCATTATTAAAAGGAATATTAATAAGGCTTTAGGTTAAATAAAATATTACTTGCATAACATATATTACTATAAAATAATTAATTAATCAATGTAATAATATCAGAAAACATTTATAATTAATAAAAATAAGCATATAACGAATAGTATAAAGTAGAAATATACAAATGAGATACAATAGGTTAGTATCGACCAATCAAGATGAAGCTTTAAGTGATTTAAGATAATCTATATAGATGGCAGTTTACAATAGAAATGAAGCTTGAAGTCTTTTATGTGATTGCATGCATTATACGGATCTGTCTTGTCCAAATGATCACAACGAAAACAATCCAAGAAAATTGTCTTGTAGTGATCTATGTCTTTATAGAGATTTCTTAATTTTATTATATATAAAAATCTTATATATATATACATACATCTCTATATATATATATATATATATGATGTAAAGTGTTCACGTATATGTCGATAATAAGAGTGTGTTGAACTTTAAAGCTACGAGCGTGTTATGCACACTCGGTAATAAATGTGATTATCGTGTAACTTGTAATCATGAAACGTCCAATTTATATTTCGAATGTTGTTGAGCTTCGCATTTATAATAACGGTTTTATGTACTTCATTGGACTAGTCATATAACGTTTTATTATTTTCATTAAATAAAGTTTATTTTTATTAACATTTCAAAGTGGCTCATGTTGCGAGTGTTCACGGTTGGAGCAAAATTGGTTTAAAAGCAGAACACACAATGGTGATACGGTAACTAATCTTGACATTTTATATGTGCATATCGTATTGATAAGGTTTCATTGCTCTTATATATTAGAGATTAATGTTATACTGTTATAATTTTGTTTTCATTTATATTCAAAACACATGAGAAATAATGTATCTTTTACAATTTTTTTTATATTTAAAAAAATTTTTTCTATAATAAATATATATTCTTTTATGTATATCGTACGCGTACATAATTTTATGAGAAGTTCGTATCATTTAAACATCTTATTTACATAATCTTAATTAATGGAAAAAAAAAGAAATATTGTATGATAAATAATAAGAGAGAAACTGTATATGCATTGTGTGCGAGTAAAATCATAATTAAATAATAGAAATTTTTCATTCATAAAAATAAAGAATTTTTGTTTATTTTTGTACTTAACTTATTTTGGTCTTATAATCGGTATTTTTATTTAATTTAGTTTATAAGCGTTTTAAATAATTGTACTAAAAGTATATACATATTGTATAGTAATTAATATGAAAGATTAAATATAGATAATATATATATGATTTCAGATCGGATGGTGGTAGTAGCGAAAGTCCATTGCTTGTGGAAGAAGGAGAAACGCTCGGTCCACCTCATAGTCCACGTAATAAACATCCTCATAACCGACAACATGTGAATCCTCACGAATGTCATAGTCATCGCCATGATAAACCAAAGCAGCTAGTAAAATATGGAGAATTAGTTATTCTTGGGTAAAAATATATAATATGCTTATAGTATATGTATTTTTTGTGCATATACTCTCAATATTGTTTTTTAATTACCAAATATGAATAATATTAATTCCAAAGAGTATTCAAATTTTTAATAAACTAAAAAAGATTATGGTTTAATAACGTATTCACACACACAGTCATTATTATAGGTATAACGGATATCTTCCACCTGGTGATCGTGGTAGGAGAAGAAGCAAATTCCTTTTATTTAAAAGACCAATACCAAATGGCGTTAAACGTAGTAAACATTACATTGTTAAAACTCCTCACAGTTCACAAGCCATTCTTAATACAAAACAGCATTCAATTTCGTATACACTTTCTAGAACACAAGCTGTTATAGTTGAATATACGGAAGATGAAGAAACAGATATGTTTCAAGTAAGTTTCGATGAAGAATCAAATTAAAAACAGACGATATTGCATATTCGTATTTCTATCTAAAGTAAAACTGTGACATATGTTTTTTATTTAAACAAATTGATCATTGCATAGATTGGTCGTTCATCTGAATCACCAATTGATTTTGTGGTAATGGATACATGTCCTGGTGGGAGTGACTGCGGAACTGCAAATGAAGGGCGGGTAGCTCAGAGTACAATTAGTAGGTTTGCCTGTAGAATTCTTGCTGATCGATCAAATCCTAGAATTGCTAGAATTTATGCCGCTGGTTTTGATAGTTCTAGAAACATCTTTTTAGGGGTAAGATTTATAGTAGAATAAATACATTATTAAATTCAGAGTTGTATCCTAAGAGGAAAAAGATCATATTTCTTCTGCGTATAGGAAAAAGCAACAAAATGGCAAGAAAATAGAGAAATTGATGGTTTGACAACTAATGGGGTTTTGATAATGCATCCACGTGGACAATTCTGTAGTGGAGAAGCCCAATGTGGATTTTGGCGAGAAGTTAGTGTCGGTGGCGGAGTATTTTCTCTTAGAGAGAGTAGAAGTGCTCAACAAAAGGGAAATTATGTAGAGGATGAAAATAATATTTTACAAGATGGTACTCTTATCGATTTATGCGGGGCTACATTACTTTGGAGATCAGCGGAAGGTCTTGCAAAATCACCGGTAAATAAAATCTTTTTTATTGTTAACAAAAATAGTCAATCTCAAAAAATATTTTCAACGTGATAAATGTGATTTACTACCAATGTAATATAGATTTTGCAAGTACCATTATTTTGTTTGATTTTAATTTTTGTTTTTTTTCAAATTTATTATTATAGGTTTTTCAATGTAAATTTTAATGAATATTTACGTGTTAGTAAATCTAATATAGATACTTTATACTAAATTTTTTTTATATAGACAAAACATGATTTAGAAGAATTAGTTGATGCTATAAATGCTGGCAGGCCGCAATGTCCTGTCGGCTTAAATACTCTAGTTATTCCACGTAAGGCAGCAGCAGATACAGCTCAACAGCAACCATATGTTTATTTAAAATGTGGCCACGTACAAGGTCATCACGATTGGGGACAGGAGGAAGATAAAGTAACAAGAAAATGTCCAATGTGTTTGGTTGCCGGATCAGTAGTAAAACTTACAATGGGAATTGAACCTGCCTTTTACGTTGACAGAGGCCCACCTACTTATGCATTTAGACCTTGTGGACATATGGCTACGGAAAAAACTGTGAAGTCAGTATTAGAGATTACATAGACAAAATAATATCTTTTTATAGATTATAAATAAAGAAAAAATTTTCTTGTATTCTTACACGTAATAGTTTGTTTATCATGAAATTATAAAGAAGCGATGATAACAATCTATATTTATTTGCAGATACTGGGAACAAGTGGCAATACCACACGGTACAAACGGTTACATCGCAATCTGTCCCTTCTGTGCAGTTCCTCTTGAAGGTTCACCTGGTTATATAAAACTCATTTTTCAGGACAATGTAGATTGAAAATAATTATACTTCCTATAATTTCAAGAAAAGTAATCTATAAAAATAATTTATACTAATTAAAAGATAGAAAAGAAAAAAAACACAATACAAGGCTTATAAAAATCAACAATCTTCAAAATGATTTAAATATTTGCTTATGTTGAAGATTTTTGTTGTACAATAAGTCTAATATAAAAAAAGAAGCATCCGTTGTACAATACACTTTTCTTGTTATTATGTACATGGAAGTTATATAATTTTTAATTGTGTAATATATACGAAGATGAATGTAAAAGAGAAAAGTTCAAACAATGTCGAATTAGAAAATCATGAATTATGTTTATTATAGTATGTAATAGTTTATACTCGGACGTAATTTATTATTAAATTAATAATTATTTCATCATTGGATATTTAATTACGGCATTCCTCTTTATCACCAGAAAAGAAAGAATTATTAATGATCAGGAAAAAAGTAAAATACTCTTTACTATCATATCGAAAATATTTAAATTTATAAAAAAATATAATTTAATGAAGTTAATTTTAGTAGCATTTTGCTTTAGTACATAGACGGAGAGTATTACAAGATAGAAAGAAGCACAATGATTATGTAACAATATCGATCTCCTTTTAGCTAATTTAGATAAATTTAAGAATGCCATGAAAGTATAGTGAAAAAACGTTGTAAAAGGCACGAGGTCCTTACCAAAAAAACAAAATAATGTAATTATTTGCCGACTGAATGTTACTTATCTTATATATATCATATTTATCTTCGATTAAAGAGTAATTTTTTATCAACTATAAATATTTACAACTTTATTATACTACGCTTTTTCCATGAAGATAAAATAAAATTTCTTACTAATTAAATTTTAAAAAGTATTTCATATCTAAGAGTGTATGTAAGAGTAAAATAATATTTCTCTTTTATTTAATTTTTTGTTTCTAAAGGTATATACATATAAATAAAAATCTGGAGTAATTAATATATAAAATAAAATCGTGAAATTAGAATATAAATAACAATATATTTATAACATTTATAAACAAACAGATATACTTACAACGACAGTCTGTAACATAAATATATATCTTTGTGTATGTATTTATGTAATTATTTATAGGATTTAATCAGTCGCGTATCAAAAAGGCAAAATCTCTTCATTGAGAAAGCTACTTTTGAATGTTCTCAGTATTGTAAATCCAATGACGTTACGAATAATTTAATGATCAATTGTTATTGTTGATTTTTTTTAAACAAATCTTACGCGAATGAAAATGTTCTCTGCAAAGAGACCTTTTTCATGTGTAGAAATTCTTAGAATAATTAATTAATCTAAACTATGATTAACTTATTTTACCTAGACTTTGCTCGAACGTATCTATCTATTATCGTTCATTTATATGACCAGTAATTTTCTCTTTTAGTCACAAACAATGAACTAATAGTTTTACAAACGCATGTTTAATATTTAAGTATTATATGTATATAAGTGAAAGTAGGTATGATCATAATTCGGTACTAGATCCACTACGACGAACATATCGATTGAAATAATCAGGTCGCCAACATTTACAGCTGCCTGGTATTAAAAACCAATCATAATACAATCGTACCTAGATAAAAGGAACAAAAAATAATGAAGGATGAATTTACTCAAGCATATAAAAGTAATTGTTACTTTACTTTTTGTTAAATTATAACAAATAAGTTACCTGGAAACAACCCATTTCATCTACGCCATCACAATGATGTTGAGAACCACCACTATTACGTGCTTCATTTTCACCTGCACGTTTTTGTAAGTACTGTTGATAATTTTGGAAATCATGTACAGGTGGTGGTACACCAACAACAGGATCTCTGGGACCTGGAAATCTATCAGTCTGACTTCCTTCCAAAAAAGTTTCGGGATAATAAATTTCAGCTACCAGTAAACTCGTCCATCTTGGTGAAGATAAACAACCGCCATCTAAATAGTGACATCTTGATTGCCTATATTTGGTGATAAAATATATAATTTAAAAATTATATAAAATAATAATATTAAAATATTTATCTTTTATTTTATATATATATATCACTTACATGCATCGAGTAACTTCAATTGTTTGTGTAAAGTAACCCTCATAAGGAATTTGGACAACATAACGCCAAACTCCTTGATAATTTTTTGCGAATACTGGAGTAGCATATTCTACTTTGGCTGGACATGGGGTTGGTGGTCCAGTATATTCTGGCTTTTCTTGAACAGGATTTCGTTGATGATATTCTTGCGTCGAAGGCTCATCTCTACGTTCTGCTGCTGATGCTGCCAATGGTTCACCTTGAATGGCCTTATACAACATACACACTCTAAATAAAAATATTTAAAAAAATTATTTTTTAATAATATTACAAATTACATAATACATATATTAGTATAAATCAAATCAATAAAATAACATACACTCCACTACCATTCTCACAAAATTTGCGACCATTACGATTTGCATTATCGTTTGTATCGGAAGATCTTTTATTTCTACTTCGTTTCCGATTAGGATCAACTCTGCAAAGTAAGCAATATGAAAAAATTGTAGTATGTACATTTTTATATATTAATATATTCTTGTATCTTTATACTTACGAGTTTTGCCCAGGTTGAATTTTGGCAACTTTAGGTAAAGATTCGTCTGCTTTTAAAATTGGTAAAGCTTTGCTCAAAAACCTGAGAGTATGATTTTTTATCAAAGTGCTACAAATATAAATGTGTATAAATTAAAAAAAAATGAAGGATTATGTGAATAATATGAAAAAGTAATAAATAATGTTTTGCATTTTACTTACAATGGATAGGAAGATCCATTGATATATTGCTTCATTGGATTTTTAGGTATAAATCCTTTATTCAAATCACCACAAATATTATGTACAGATGCATATCCTTTTCCTTTACCAGTATCTAAAATTTATATCAATTAATTAATATAATATAAAATAAAAGAAATATAAAATCCACTAATAAAACTTAAAGATTAAAAAAAGATAATATTTTAATACCATGACATTCTTTATCGCTTTCAACATAAGGTGGCGGTTTAACTTTAGGTGGTTCAGCATTTGGTGATTCAACAAACGCATAATATCCTTCTGGAGGTTCTTCTTGGATAGATGTATCTGTATTACTTATCTTTGTTCGCTTAGTAGTATGATATTCTTCAGCAGAAATTAAAATACACGAAACTAACAACTGAAATTAAAGAATAATAAGTAGATTAAAAAAATAAATTTTCTATGAGATAGAATAACATAAAATTGTGTGATCTGCTACAATCTTCTATCAAAATTGAAACTTACAAATTGTAATGAGAATTATTTTTAACGTACGTATATTAAAACGTTGAGTGCCACGTCAGTCACCGGTGACTGACACTCAATTATTTGTTTAATACTAACACGCGCGTGGCCTGACGAAGATTTTTTAAAGAATGTGGTCTCGAAAAAAAACTTATTCTTTTGAAGTAAAATGAGTATGATAAAAAATAAACTGTTTCTATATTAGGCTCCAAACTTTTCAACTTACCCACGTAGGTATTTCAGATTATTTTTAAAAGGAGATAGAAAAAAAAATATGTGTATATTCTAATCTAAAATCGGGGTCATTATATATATGTCTGCTTTCTACGTGAGTCTCTACCTGCGCGATACATACGGGTCATTGACGGCATTCCCCGTTAGTAGACACGTTATATGCATTCAGTCTTAACGGTATGTGGTCCATTAATTACATCGTTTGATACTATAAATTATATCCATTTATTTATTTGTAAATTTTTGTATATGATTTCTTTGCTTAAACCGATTTCAAATTATATGCTATAAAAAATCGTGTAATTTTCAGAAAAAAGAAACTCTAATTTAGTTTTATTTATTTATTTATTATTTTTAATGTTTTGTGCGTTAATATCAAAGTATAATATGACGTACGTAATAAAGAATATAATTTAAAATAAATGCGGTGTTACGCGATATCGTAAAGAAAAGTTTTCGTAAGAATTTTATTTTATTTTTTTTATTTAGCCTACTTCGAATTTTGTCTAACGTTATAATAGTATGATTACGTCAAAACTTATTGTTATTACAGTTATGAGAACGAAATCTTCAAACCTGTACCAGTCAAACTCAGTAACGAATAAAGTCAAGCTAGGTCCCGAGCGATACAAATTTCGGGACTCTAAGACCCAAGTCAGAAAAATAAAAGTTTCAAAAAAATTCCCCCATTAAGTTATTAATAAAAAAGAAAAGTAATCAAAAAGTTCACAGCGCAACACATTAACTAATTTCAAAGACAATGAAAAGAAATTTTAAGACCTCGAGGCCCGAGGCAGCTATTTAATCCGCTAACCGCTTAATTCACTACTGGTCAAACCGGAAGATTGAAGGAATGTTTTACAATGGCGTAATCATCGCACACAGTCATTGAACTTCATTCAAAAGAATGTAACAGAATAACTATACTACAAATGACATTTCTTTTCCTTTACGTAGAATCGTAAGAATCTTGAAACTTTTATCATAATCTAAATTTATATATATTATATATTTATTTATTTATTTGTTAATATAAATTTGATTATGTTTCTTTTGAACCTATGATTTTCGCGCGCAACAAAATTAACTATTTGAGTATAAAACATCTATTTTGCATATTTATATTTAAAAAAAAATCTTAAATAGATTGAAATCCTTTGATAATAAATAACTGTTTGTATACCGCTATATTCTTTGAATAAATTAACATCTTATCTATTGCACCGACGTGTCGCGTACAAATTGATGTTAAATGCATTTGTTTTAAATAAAAAAAATATAAATAAATCAATGTAAATACAAAAAAAAAATATAATAAGAAGAAAAAGAAATAAAACATAATAATCCCAATAAATAAAATAATTTTGTTTACACGAAATATTAAAAAAAAAAATTGTTTAATTATAAAATACCATAGGAAGCACTTAAAACTTTAGAATTGAACTTACGAAAAATAAACGTAGTTCCATTTTAATATATTAAACACTGTAAACAAAAAATAAA